CCCGCCACTCCTTGATTCACCGGCCACAACCCAAGTTTCCCGCCACTCCTTGATTCACCGCCACAACCCATGTTTCCCGCCACTCCTTGATTCACCGGCCACAACCCAAGTTTCCCGCCACTCCTTGATTCACCGCCACAACCCATGTTTCCCGCCACTCTTAGATTCACCAGCCACAACCCATGTTTCCCGCCACTCTTAGATTCACCAGCCACAACCCATGTTTCCCGCCACTCTTAGATTCACCAGCCACAACCCATGTTTCCCGCCACTCTTAGATTCATCAGCCACAACCCATGTTTCCCTCCACTCCTTGATTCACCGGCCACAACCCATGTTTCCCGCCACTCTTAGATTCACCGGCCACAACCCATGTTTCCCGCCACTCCTTGATTCACCAGCCACAACCCGCTTCCCGCCACTCCTTGATTCACCGGCCACAACCCAAGTTTCCCGCCACTCCTTGATTCACCGCCACAACCCATGTTTCCCGCCACTCCTTGATTCACCAGCCACAACCCATGTTTCCCGCCACTCCTTGATTCACGGGCCACAACCCATGTTTCCCGCCACTCCTTGATTCAACAGCCACAACCCATGTTTCCCGCCACTCCTTGATTCACCAGCCACAACCCGCTTCCCGCCACTCCTTGATTCATCAGCCTTAAAAACTGAATCTACTTCCCATGCAGCATACAGTAGGCCTAAGCTTCGTCTACCTTAGTATCATAGCTTGACTCGACACATGTTAAAGCTCTGGACTAAACTGCACCATAATTCTTGTTAAATATATATTAACTATATTCCTAACATGTTCACGAATATTTCTTATATTTAATATTACATATATGTATATAAAGTTACATTCTGCTGTTCCATGTTAGCAAGAATTGTCTTACCTTAATGTAGATTCTCTCGTAGAATGTCTTATTCAGCCTTAAGTCTTCTACATACTTGTCTGCAATAATAGAAAACCACGTGACATGTAATGCTCTAAGTTATCACAGCCTAATGTGTGTTAACCACCTTCCCTATGAAGCATTACCTTCAAGAATAGTGTTAACCGCCTCCCCTAAGAAGCACTATCTTCAAGAATAAAGTCATATTAAGCAATTAATTGGTCAAATAAAGGCAGAGCGCCTCTCACCTGCTCACCGGGCGACGGTCCCACGTGCTCTGGCGCCCACTAGTGCGCGGAGGCTGGGCGCTCCGGGTCGCCCGCTGCAGCCTCCACTCTGATTGGTTCCTCGAGAGTTGGCTCTGATTTTAACCTTCACTCTGATTGGCTTTGGCCAGACTGTGAGCGTTTCTGATATAAGACGCTTGCTGTGATCGGTTGCAGATGAGGTAGTTTCTATTGGCTAGCGTAAGATTTAATCTGATTAGTTGAGGCATGAGATGCTAGATAATTTGATGAGTTAACGAATGAACCACTGCAAGCCGTGATGTTTTTGGGTTCAATAAAATATGAAACTATTTTTTCACTTTATTTCTGCAATTCTCGAATCTGTGGCTGTTTTATATATTATACTTTGGCGAGCTAATATTAATTTTATGCTCTACACAGTCCCCTTAATGAATGAAATGGGGAAGATAAAATGAGCTAAATTAAATTCCTACTAAAATTTAAACAAATTAAATATAACATTTTCTTTATATTTCAGAATTACTTTGGTTCCTAATTTTAAAATTGTGTCAGAGACAACATGAAGCGTCTGAGACTACTCTCTGCAGTGAGATTTGTTTTGCTCATAATAATCAGTTACCTATAGTACAATAAGAAATAATAATGTTCGCCTAAACTAGGCTACTCCTCCTGTGATCAATAGTGTATAATGTGGGTAACACATCTTCATCCTCTAAACTGTACTGTATATATATATATATATATATATATATATATATATATATATATATATATATATATATATATATATATATATATAGTACGCTAAGTAATATATATATATATATATATATATATATATATATATATATATATATATATATATGTCGTACCTAATAGCCAGAACACTTCTCAGCCTACTATTCAAGGCCCGATTTGCCTAATAAGCCAAGTTTTCATGAATTAATGTTTTTTCGTCTACCTAACCTACCTAACCTAACCTAACCTAGCTTTTTTTGGCTACCTAACCTAACCTTACCTATAAATATAGGTTAGGTTAGGTTAGTAGGGTTGGTTAGGTTCGGTCATATATCTACGTTAATTTTAACTCCAATAAAAAAAATTGACCTCATACATAGAGAAAGGGTTGCTTTATCATTTCATAAGAAAAAAATTATAGTAAATATATTAATTCAGGAAAACTTGGCTTATTAGGCAAATCGGGCCTTGAATAGTAGGCTGAGAAGTGAGTTCTGGCTACTAGGTACGACATATATATATATATATATATATATATATATATATATATATATATATAGCAAAAATATTGTTTTTAACTTGCATTATATCAGGACAAGTTCAAGTTCAAATATGTTTATTGAGACAAGAAAAAATACATCTCAAAGGGATAAAGTAGCTTAGGCTATTTCTATCCCCCTTAAATCAGGACTTATAATATGTGTATTATTCACGTCTGGAAAAATGTGTAAGTTATAAATATCGTTATTGTTTCGTTTTGTTTTAAACTTGGCGTAATTATAGTATAGACCGTATACAAATGCTATATCATGTATGTATTATACAAAACCAACACCACCCGGCGACCCTAACCCTTAACTTATTGATTTAATTTCACTCGTCTCAAAATATAATTACAACACGCTTTGTGTCTGAAGCAAAATACAGATATAGTTTAATAATCAATGACGGAATCAGTCTGCCAACTATGTATATCTTTCCATATTGGCCTCTGAATATATAACAGAACTGATGAGTTACATAAAGCATGTGCTCTTAAAGATGGAGTTGATTACCATCTTGAATTGATTTTGAGCAGCCTGAGGCAGTAATATATCGAGAACAGCAACAAAATTTGCAGGGATTTTTTGCATTTACAGACAAAGTAAAATTCACGGTAGGTATTCCATTTGTCATCAGGCTACTATGCACGAAGAACTACATATCTATGGGTCATCCAGTAAGGTCGGCATTTGATTTATTGTGCTCTCAAAATGGTAGGTTGTCTATTATTATTATTCACATGCAGACGATGAGTCACAATAACGTGGGTGAAGTAATAATGACCAAATCACAACTCAGAAGATGGAGAAACGTTTCGGTCCGTCCTGGACCATCTATAAATCCAACATTATGTTTGTAACTCATTTTCAATGTATGTACCTTTAACCTGAATAAACATGTTATCTTATTATGAAATCGACAATGGTCCGGGACGGGCCAAAACGTCGTTGTTTCTCCATCTTGTGATGTGTGGGTTGGTCATTATACCAGTGGTATGATAGGATGATGATGACAACCTAGTGTTACCATACATGATCTGCACGGTAACTCAAGCCTTCTTAATATGAAACCCGTTTTGGTGTGTTTATTATGTCACGAAATATAGTAGCGTCAATAGTGTTAGGCCTACAATAGCGGCCTTCTTTACTTAGCTAAACCTAACCTACAGGTTGCATTATCCCCGAAAATAAACAAGAAAATAATAATTTGTTATAATAATAAATTAATTGAAGATAATTATTTGTAGTATTTTGATAGGTGAATGAAGGATTTGATATTAACATACTAGAATATAGTAGCGGATCGCGAAGTTGACATACTATCCTGTTTTCTATTTTGGGTCCTCTGGTAGGTTAGGATAAGGGCACTTTAGTACGACAGTTTCTTGACGTTGGGGAACCTTAGGAGGACGGGCTGGACAGTGGGCAATGGCTGCTAAAAGAGACTGGTTTTCTGTGACAGCGGGCCATAAAGAGTACAGGATAGGGGGATCACAGTCGACTTGAAAATGGTCCAGGACGGACCGAAACGTCGTCGTGCCTTCACCTTCTAGTGTGTGGTCTGGTCAACAGGGTAGGGGAGACTACGACACCCCCGAGACCTGGCCAACTCGTCTTATCAACAAGTTTTGGGTTTGCTCCTTACATCACTGTCTTTCCCCCTCTCCCTCTCTCCCTCCTGGTGGATCTTTACGCTCCACTGGTATATACATAATGCCCTGGACAAATATAGGCAACTGGTATATTATGTAATTCTATTTTCACCCTTTTGTGCATCCCCAATTTCCACTGGGGGAGCTTATGGTATTATCAATAATGGATGTGTTCAGCGCCATATTGGAAATTGGTAAATATAGAGAAACACGCAACGCTTTCTTTTAAGCATTTTGAGGATCATCTATATAATGAACTCCCTAACCTAAAGATGTGAAAAATTGGATATAGGCCTATGGGTTGGTGTGCTGCTTGGTCTCCCATAGTCGGGGACAGGAAGCTTCTGTTAGGCTTGTCGAGGTCCCTCGAGGGACCACACCAACTACTGACCTTCCCCAGGATGCAAGCCACAACAGTTGTCTAACTTCTAAGTACATATTTACTGCTAGGTGACCAGAGTTTCTTATAATAAATAACCACAACGTTTTGTAACTTACGTTACTATAACGTGACATAAAAGTAGCGATTTTAAAATTAATGCGATTTGATTGTGTTTTTGCTGAGTGCGTGTATTACATGTTCTAAGGGAGAGAGAGAGAGAGAGAGAAGGGGGAGAGAGGGAGTGTGGAGGAGGAAGGATATTACAGTGGTCGTAACAGGGGTTCCTGGTTGTGTTATTTGGTACATGATGGCGGAACTGTTTCCCAAAGGGTCCGCTAGATTGTTCCTTTGTTGTTATTGCCGGTCACTACCCGGGTTGTTGCATTGGTGTTCCCTGTGTTGAGGTGTTGATATCGGGGTTCCCTGTGTTGACATTAACTAACAGATAGCTATGGTTAGCCTCTGCGAACACATTCCGGTGAGTACATTTAGGGGTAGCATCCACACTACCTGCCTATCACTCAGCTTCTCCTCCTCAGCTATGCGTAAGGACGGGGAGTGGGGAGGATGGAGTCCGTGGACGGAGTGCCCGTCTACATGCGGAGTGGGTCCCCGCCTCCGTCACCGCTTCTGTGACTCTCCTCCACCCAGCAACGGCGGCCTCTTCTGCCAGGTGAGACTACCATCTTCAGGTTTCTGACAGGTGAATATATGTTCTGGTGAGATGTTCTGCAATGTAAGATAGTTTTCTCTTATGGAAGATGGTTCTCTCTCATGGGAGATGTTTATCTGCCATGAGAGATGATTCTATGTCATGGAAGATGGTTCTCTGCCATAGGAGAATTTTTTGAAGTTATAGATTAATTGGTTTCGTCAGTTAACATCTTACGAGTCTATTGTGTATCCAGCTTTTACTGATGTTCCCTTGTCATACTTCTTTTCACTTTATATTCCCTTCCCTTGATTATTATCCTCAGTATCTTGTATGTAGTGATCATATCTCCTGTGTTTCTTCTGTCTCTAAGGTATCCCGATCAGGTACTGTTGTATCCAAGTTTGATACTGATGTATCCCAGTTAAGTACTGATGCACCCCATTCAGGTATTGATGAATCCCAGTCAGGTACTGATAATCCCAGTCGGGGGATGAATATCGATGAATCCCCGAGAGAGACAACAGTCCCCCGGTTAGGTAGGTGAGACAGATTCAGGATGCACCGCTTCAGGAGTGCACCGCCCCCTGACATGTTGTGGTGTTGCAGGGGGATTCGATCGAGGCCGAGTCGTGCGAGGGTCCGGCCTGTGTGCTGGCCAGCCAGCAGCCGGCGCCAGCCACCACTCCGAGCAACGAGCGCTGCTCCTGCGGCTGCACCCTCGCCCTCAACTCCGGGTTCACCACCACCATCAGCGCCTCCGCCGCCCTCTGCAGCGGCACTGCCGTCTGGATCCTACAGGTACTCACCTACACGTGTTTCCTGAGGTTGACCCTCGGCTCCTAATCCCTGCGTGTCTAATCCTTAGCAGTTGTGTGCAATTTACATTCAAAATTATGTGTTGAGTTTATTCTTGAGTGTAGGCTATATACCGGCCCGGGAGAGGTCATATAATATTATCTGTGATAATAATTTATGAACCTCGTAAACATGAGGTTCGTCACAACCTCATGTTTATTGAAGTTGAATATTAAACTAACATCCCAAAACACTAACTTTTAGAGTTTTCCGACTCTGTTTTCATCCGAGTTTGACGAAATGTTTACGCACTGCTCCCCTCAATAGGCTTTCCATTGTTTTACTATTATTCCAATAACAACAATTCCAGCACTAGTTCACGATTTTTTATTATTAGGATTTATTATTTATTATTTTTATTATTATTTTTTATTATTTTAGGTGCCTGACAGCTGGGTGGACAGCGCTTCGTATTCATAGTCCTGAGGTTCCGGGTTCGATCCCCGGTGGAGGCGGAGACAAATGGGCAAAATGTTTTTTTCACCCTGATGCCGCTGTTACCTAGCAGTAAATAGGTACCTGGGAGTTAGACAGCTGCTACGGGCTGCTTCCTGGGGGGGGGGGGGTAACAAAAAGGAGGCCTGGTCGTGGACCGGGCCGCGGGGACGCTAAGTCCCGAAGTCATCTCAAGATAACCTCAAGGACACAAAAATTATAAAATTCCTGTAACCACAACTGTAGAACTGTGACTGATGGTCTCGCCAGTAATACCATCAAAATAAATCTACAGTAAAACTTGTAAATCTGAAACAGATTTTAATATTTAAAATATTTTTGCGTATTATTAAAATCCAGTTTTTCGTAACCATGGTTATTTTTAGGGCTAAATACCAAAGAAATGTGTATATGAAAACAACGGTATAGAGTTGACTCTGGGGCCCCTCGGTGGCGCTGGACGATTAAACCAGTGTCCACTCTTTATAAACCGCTGGCGTCATTTTTCTTTCGACCGTCAAATCATACATTTCTATTCAAATTTAAAACCTTTTACAGTATCCAGATGTAGAGAATACCTGAATAACGGGGCTGAATACACACACAACCCAACCCACATCTCTCTCTTCATAATGCCATATTTTGTGGACTAAATTGGGTGGTTATGAAGGGTATAATTAGTGTACTTTACTAAACCCAAAGATGATAAGACACTGTGTCTGTCCCCGACTGGCTTCTGATACATCGCGTGCAACATGTATTAAGATCAGAACAATGAGGAAATGTAGTCTTGTGATATAGGATCGAACTTGCTTACCTCTGTAATGCTTTTTGCGCTACCGCTCACATTATGAGTATGGGGTGCACGATAAACTAGCGCCTCTGGCGGCAGCAATCATCAATACCTGAACTTCTCGGGCCTCGATCCCACTGCACGGCGTCAATATTTTCTCATATCACATCATTGTGATTTCATTGTGATAATAATGTTGTGTTGGTTGCAGGCACCAGCAGGAGAGCGTGTGGTGGCCGAGGTGGTGTGGGCCTCCCTGCGCCATGGAGCTCAGTGGTTCAAGTTGAGGGACGGTGACTCCCTCTCAGCGCCTCTCCTGGTCCGCCTCCCCTCAGCCACTTCCCCTCAACACCTCGGGCCCTCACCTCGCCGCCTCCCCAACACGTCACGCTGCTCTTCCTCGGGATCTACGCTCCTCCTCGAGTTTCGCTCAGACGTCAATACTTCATCTGTAGGAGGCTTGAACCCTGCCTCTTGGGGCTTCCTGGTCGTCGCCTTCCCTTCTGGTGAGTGGTGATTACGGGGGGAGGAAGGGATAGGGTTGGGGTGGGGAATGGAAGGAATGAGTGTTAGGGAAGGGGCGTCCACTGAGCGATGTAACTGGAATGTGAATAGAACTGTTAAAACAGGGTTCAGCTGAAAAGATTTAGCCGCCATATTGGAGCATCTTGCTTAAACGTCCCACCCTAACATTTACAAACTTATCCCAACATAGTTCAGCGCTTTTTGTTTTTGGGGGTGTATGGAAGATGGAGACGGGCAAGTGAAGGACAAAGTTCAGTCGGAATGACAGGAGTTAGGGATGAGGGATGGGGGTAATGGGGAATGACAGGAGTTAGGGATGAGGGATGGGGGTAATGGGGAATGGTAATGGGGAATGACAGGAGTTAGGGATGAGGGATGGGGGTAATGGGGAATGACAGGAGTTAGGGATGAGGGATGGGGGTAATGGGGAATGACAGGAGTTAGGGATGAGGGATGGGGGTAATGGGGAATGACAGGAGTTAGGGATGAGGGATGGGGGTAATGGGGAATGACAGGAGTTAGGGATGAGGGATGGGGGTAATGGGGAATGACAGGAGGGTTGTGGGGCTGAAAGGTAGGTAGATAGGGAACAAGTAATGTTTGGTGGGGGGGGGGATAGAGAGGAAGTGAGGGGGGGGGATTGTCAGTGATGAAGGGGGAAGAGTGAGGACACGGTAAGATAGGTGATGGTTGTACGTAGTGGAGATGGCTATTGTCAACAATGTAAGCAAAATTCTTAATATAAAATAACATTATATAATAAATATATGAATCAGAAAATAATAATAATAAGCTATATAAGACTCCTGTTCTTCTTGTATAGAGAAGACATTGGTAAACCATCACCATTACCGCGTGTCCCGCCTTCGTGAGGGGGCGCCGCCCCCCATGTACACACAGGTACACCCACAATAACTCAGTCACACCTGTGTACACCTCGTACTGTACTCAGTACTAAATATGTAGATACAGTTGTTCATTATTTTCTGATACTCTTAAAAGGCTTACTAGATGGCCATTGTGTTTGTGTTATACATCAGATATGTATTTCTAGTGTCCTAATGTATCTTTATCTTGGCCAGCAGCGGAGAGAGTGGCTGGGGGAGGTGACGTCGGGGCGGGGGAGGCAGGTCCTCAGGGCACCTTCTGGGGGCTGCTGCAGGGGATGCATGTGGCGGCAGTAATGTTTGTGGTAGTGCTCATGGTCGCTGTGGTAGTGCTGGCCATCTACCACTGGCGCAGGTACAGATTATATAAGCGGGCGCGGCTCATCCCTGAGTCACCCTACTCCTCGCTCCCCGGCACGCCCTCCAAGGACCGCTCTGATGCCGCCTCCACCCTCACGCTAACTGAGGTCATCTCCCTCAAGTCCTTGGTGCTGCGACCCAAGCTGCCTAAGTCGCTGCCGCTGACGCGTCGCCGCAGATCTGTGTCTTACTCGCCGCTGGAGCGCGAGCACCACCACGAGGCCTCGCAACACTCACTCCCGAACTCTCCCTTTCTTACCCGCCGAGTTTCCACTCCCTCTACAATCAGAAGGTCGTCCTCGCACCTGGGACGTCTTCTCAGGAGGGGCAGCGGCACTTTCAAGCGACGAAAAAGAAGATTTGCCTCAGTCGACGAGCTGGAAACTCGTTGTATTTCACCCATTCGCGAGATGCAACGAGAGGACGAGGGCGACAGCGGGAAGGAGGGCCAAGTCGAGGACACAAACACTGGTGAAGAGAACTCTGCTAAGTACCGGGAACATCGCAAGTCAGTGTTGTCAGAGAAGACGCCGATGGACCCTCGCTCGTTCCCCAAGTTAGCCAAGGAGAAAATGAACCTGGAGCGTGTCAGACGGTCAGCACTCTCTCGCTCCACTTCTAGTGCCACAATGAGGGGCGCTTCCTCCGTATCCGACATGTCTGTCAATGGCACCGACACTGAGATGGAGTACGACTACTATGACTACGACATGGACAACGCATCAGCAATTCCAGGGTCTTTGTTTGGTATGGACCCGCTAGTACTGGCCTGGGCACCGCCATTTTTTCTTGGGCCAGACGACATCTCTCCCTCAGACGAGGGTATTCCTCTAAATATGTTGGGTTTGTCCGAGGCCACGCCTACAGCAGAGGAGCCCCCACGGCCCAGCGTCCTCTCCCTCCAGCACCTCAACATCCCGCGGCCAGAGTCCTCTCCGAACACCAACTCCTTGCAGAGGAGCGAGAAGTCTGATGACAGCAATGACCACTCCGAGATGCATGACAATAAAAGGATCGTTCTAAACGGCGTGAAGGATGCTAGTCAGGAGGATGATGACGATGACCTGACGCCAACCACACAAAGCAGCAAGATCCTTAACCTCGACGATATCCAGTTTGCCGACGACTCTGACTGTGAAGAGGAAAACGCCTTATAGTGCTATCAATCTCCTTTCTATACATCTTACCTCATCTCCAGCCCAGTGAGATGGAGCAACACTATTAATGCTTTAAAACAAATTATACATGTTGTTTATGCAATTTGTCGAGATGTCTATTTCTGTAACGTTTCTTGGCTGTAGGTTGTGTGGTAACTCAAATCAGCTTTAATGAAATAGATTAAGTATAGACTTAGTCTTTCCTGAGGGATATTAGGAGCCATCACCTCCTAGCGCGGACCTTACACTAGTCAGTTGACCAGACCACACACTAGAAGATGAAGGAACGACGACATTTCGGTCCGTCCTGGACCATTCTCGATTGTGTCCAGGACGGACCGAAACGTCGTCGTCCCTTCACCTTCTAGTGTGTGGTCTGGTCAACTTACTTTAGCCACGTTATTGTGACTCCTCGCCTGCTTACACAAGTCACTTTACGTCTTGGCAAGTCTGTTGTAAATAGAAACATATCTCAGTAGACATGTATATCCTGTAATATATTATTTTACATGTACCAAATTAATTTACTCACCAGAAACTCTGAGTCTCCCTTCAGTTTGTATATGTACATATGTATAGTTCCTACTGGAATGTCCTTAATTTATATATATATATATTTGCCGCTTGTAGAAGCTGTTGTTTCTGAGTGTGAGTAGTGCCAGTGTAAACATGGAGGGGGAGAGGAATGCCATGAAACTAGAGAGAAGTGAAGCTACACATCCCTTTGTCAAGTGGCTTTTGAACTGGTGGGTGTCTCTTGAAGAGTCGTCAATCGCCGGCCCTTCTCTTTTCATATAAAAGGCCACGACAAAGGCAAGTTGCCCACTTAATAAACTAGGACCAGAAGACGAGTTGAAATAGAATTACAGCTACTTGGTAAGTCAGTGGTGACTCGTAGGATTAATGGTTCTAGTGAGACGGTGTGAATCCTATTGAGCCATTAAGTCGGTGGTCCTTTTAAGCCAGGGAGCCTTCTGGCTCGTCAGGTGTAGCACTCCCTACACCCAACCACACATTGTACTTACCACGTGCAATACGAGACGGGGACTTAGCTCATTACCGTCGTAGTACACAGGTCGTTTGGTAGTGGGACACCAAACTACCTGTGACGCAAGGTCGAGAGTAGCGACAATTGGAACACGACGACAGACAGGGAGCTGGATCTTGATGCACTGGATAAAAGGAACCAAAGACGAGACATGGTTGAGACATATAAGATCCTAAGGGATATTGACAAAAGTAGAAAAGGCCACAATGTTTACCAGCCGAAAGAGAAAATTTGGTTAGAAGCTAGAGGCACACGAGTCATAGAAATGTCAGGAAATATTATTTTAGCCTAAGAGTAATAGTAAATGGATTAAACTAGAAGATGTAGTCGAGACGAATACCATTCATAGGTATAAATATAGAGATAATAGGACTCTAATGGTCCAGAAGCCATTATATTAGACGACTGACAGCAATTTAAAGGGGAGGGAGGCCTGAGAGCTGACACCCGGCCTTGCAAGCACAGTTAACTAAATACAACACCACACTCGAGGAAGGCGTGAATGGTGTTGTTATGACTGGTGTTCGTGACAGTTAATCCGGTTATATCACCCACTCTTTTTGACCAGGATCCACTTTTGTAATTGTTATTGGCCCCCCCCCCCCACACTACTCTAGTAAAGAAGAGACACAAATCAAGATGTAATGATGATAATATGTACATTGTGGCGATAATGTGTACATTGTTGACAAATTCTCCTCCAAAACAAATACAATAAAGTACAAATTCCTGTCCAGCTGTGTAGTTGCCTCGTAACTTTTGTTTCTGCACCTAATGTTTCCAATAGTTTGTGACAGTTGGGGACGGCGAACACGTCGGGGCACTGGCGAACACGTCGGGGCCCTGGTGAGCACGTCGGGGCACTGGCGAACACGTCGGGGCCCTGGTGAGCACGTCGGGGCACTGGTGAGCACGTCGGGGCACTGGCGAGCACGTCGGGGCACTGGTGACCACGTCGGGGCACTGGTGACCACGTCGGGGCACTGGTGACCACGTCGGGGCACTGGTGACCACGTCGGGGCCCTGGTGAGCACGTCGGGGCACTGGTGAGCACGTCGGGGCACTGGCGAGCACGTCGGGGCACTGGTGACCACGCCGGGGCACTGGTGACCACGTCGGGGCACTGGTGACCACGTCGGGGCACTGGTGACCACGTCGGGGCACTGGTGACCACGTCGGGGCACTGGTGACCACGTTGGGGCACTGGTGAACACGTCGGGGCACTGGTGAGCACGTCGGGGCACTGGTGAACACGTCGGGGCACTAGTGAACACGTCGGGGGCACTAGTGAACACGTCGGGGCACTGGCGAGCACGTCGGGGCACTGGCGAGCACGTCGGGGCACTAGTGACCACGTCGGGGCACTGGTGACCACGTCGGGGCACTGGTGACCACGTCGGGGCACTGGTGACCACGTCGGGGCACTGGTGACCACGTTGGGGCACTGGTGAACACGTCGGGGCACTGGCGAGCACGTCGGGGCACTAGTGAACACGTCGGGGCACTGGCGAGCACGTCGGGGCACTAGTGAACACGTCGGGGCACTGGCGAGCACGTCGGGGCACTGGCGAGCACGTCGGGGCACTAGTGAACACGTCGGGGCACTGGCGAGCACGTCGGGGCACTGGTGAACACGTCGGGGCACTGACTAGCACGTCGGGGGCTTATATCAGCGTCAAGATTCATAGTCTCGTGTTCATAAGCGACTTCTTAATAAGGAGTCACGTGTGTATATATATATAATTTGTTGTCTCATGACTTGTACAGTGTAAATAACCGTGTTTAACCTGCTCCCTCCCTCTTCTCTTCTATTCTCTTCTCTTCTCTTCTCTTCTCTTTTCTCTTCTCTTCTCTTCTCTTCTCTTCTCTTCTCTTCTCTCTTCTCTTCTCTTCTCTTCTCTTCTTCTTTTCTCTTTTCCCTTTTCCCTTTTCTCTTTTCTCTTTTCTCTTCTTCTCTTCTTCTCTTCTTCTCTTCTTCTCTTCTTCTCTTCTCTCTCTTCTCTCTTCTCTCTCTCTTCTTCTCTCTTCTTCTCTTTTCTTCTCTTCTCCTCTTCTCTCTTCTTCTTCTTCTCTCTCCTCTCTTCTTCTCTCCTCTCTTCTTCTCTTCTCTCTTCTTCTCTCCTCTCTTCTTCTCTTCTCTCTTCTTCTCTTCTCTCTTCTTCTCTTCTCTCTTCTTCTCTTCTCTCTTCTTCTCTTCTCTCTTCTTCTCTTCTCTCTTCTTCTCTTCTCTCTTCTTCTCTTCTCTCTTCTTCTCTTCTCTCTTCTTCTCTCTCTCTTCTTCTTCTTCTTCTCTTCTTCTCTTCTCTCTTCTCTCTCTTCTCTTCTCTCTCTTCTCTCTTCTTCTCTCTCTCTCTTTCTCTTCTCTTTTCTTCTCTTCTCTTTTCTTCTCTTCTCTTTTCTTCTCTTCTCTTTTCTTCTCTTCTCTTTTCTTCTCTTCTCTTTTCTTCTCTTCTCTTTTCTTCTCTTCTCTTTTCTTCTCTTCTCTTTTCTTCTCTTCTCTTTTCTTCTCTTCTCTCTCTCTTTCTTCCTCTCATTTTTAATTTTCAGTTTTTCGTTATTGCTACCTGTTTATCCTCTCTAACAATGTAACACCAAGTAACGACATATCAGCTTGTTAGGTTAGGCTCAGACTAGCATGGAACACCCAACACTACACACTGGCTTCTGACACCTCAACACTTATAGATGTCTTGCGACGTCAAACCCCATGTCTTGGGACATCCCCACACCACATACAGTGTCTTGGGACATCCCCCACACCACATACAGTGTCTTGGGACACCCCCACACCACATACAGTGTCTTGGGACATCCCCCATTCCACATACAGTGTCTTGGGACATCCCCCATTCCACATACAGTGTCTTGGGACATCCCCATACCACATACAGTGTCTTGGGACATCCCCATTCCACATACAGTGTCTTGGGACATCCCCATTCCACATACAGTGTCTTGGGACATCCCCATTCCACATACAGTGTCTTGGGACATCCCCATTCCACATACAGTAATTTCAAACGTCCCCCCTACACAATTTCTTGAAACGTCAACCATAGCACAACAAATGCCTTGAGGCGTCCACCACACCACACACACAGCTTGTCTGACATTCACTCAGTAACAGCTAATTTGACTGTGTCTTAATAAACGCATTCACAAGTACAATTATTATAATATTAAGCTGAACTTTTATACGCGGTGTAAACATTCACTCTCCAGATGAAACGCGGATGTGTAAGTTGCTGTGGAGTGAAAGTGAAGGTGTTTGGTCAAGATGATGGCACCTGTGTGTGTCATGACACATAGAAAAGTGTCAATTAGGCTGAACGACACGTCGCGGCAGGTGGAAATCATGTTGACATACAGGAAGATCTGTCGTGTTTAGAAAAAGAAAACGTGTCATGCCACGATATAGGGTAAACTGACTCATATGAGCAGCCTCACATGAAGTGTCATATAAACAGCCATATTTAGTGTCATGAACATAATATAAAATGAATAGTGTCATAGAAACAACATGTCATATGAACAGTGTCATATGATGCGAAGGAAACGCTTTAAGATTTGGTGATCAGTGTCATACGAGCAGTGTCATGCGGACAGTGTCATACGGTCAGGGGTCACATGAAGCACTGTATTGTCGGGACTTCCGTGAGTGTGTGTCGGTCTCTGAATTATTCATGACACTGTGTCATAATTTAGGAAACAGTGAAAGGTGTCACGCATTGAGAAATATTAGTGTCATGCCCCGGGGTAGGGGGGAAGTAGAATAAGTTATACAGGTTGGTAGAATTGTAAATGTTGTGTTACCGGCCTTATACATCATGAATGTTGTGTTATGAGGAAAACATATTTTAAATGCAGTGAGAAATTGTTAATGTTTTGTCCAGGTGCAGGGGTATTATAATTGTGGGAGATCTGTGTATTTTACGAGCTGTGTATTGTCAAGAAGAAGGATAACTTATAATTATAATCATTTCAAGAGGCGAGAACATTTGATATATCCCAAATTTCAAAAAATTGAGTCATGTCGAGAGGCATGATATTGTTAAAAAAGCTTGTCGGGAGAAAGGAAAACTGTAGGTATCCTGTCAAGAAAACACATTGTCTTATTTTCATATCAAAATGTTGGAAAATTGTGACAAGATGCAATAAAAATGTTAGTGACGCCAGCAAGAGACAAGAGGTACGTCAGTAATCCGGAAAACTGTAGATGTCATTTTGCAAGGGAGAGAAACCTGTGGATGTTAAACTGTGCACCAAGCCTAGTCACCATTTCAAGTGCCAAAATTCTTCTAATTTATTAGTTTTTTGTTTCTATTAGCTTATATTAGCCACACATACATATGACGGGTCTTGCTAATTTCAGTAATTTATAAGCAGAGCTCAGTTACACGTCTGTGATCCTCTCGGACGTAGATTCGAACCTTCATCACGGCCCTTGTGGATTTGTTCAGAGCTCAGTTACTTTAATTTACTATTAATGCTATCGCTTATAGTCGTTAGTCTCGGTGGGGGTCAGTGAACCCTTATAGCCTGTGAGGTGAAGCATGTGGCAAGCAATACGTTGCCGTAATTTATATGGCAGTATTTCACATTTATGTGCACTATATCACCCTTACAAACTCTTCGTGAGTCGCTCTTGGTCTATAGGGGGGCAGAGTCGCATGCACCCTCACATACAACTGGCTCACAGAGTGTTTGAACACAAATATAATCATGTGTCAGCACCCATATGCAGATTGCAGCCCGTCCTCCAAACAAAGACCCAAAAGTGATTCCATGCACCTGCCAAACTCCCTGTTTATAAATGAAAAACGGTTTACACACGACTCACAACTGATTTCGTTCGAACACTTCCGGAACTAGTGCTTCACTGACGAATTTTGTTCAAACCACAACGCTATAAATCCAGCCCGTCCTCCAAACAAAGATCCAAAAGTGATTCCATCCACCCGCCAAACTCCCTGTTTATGAATGAAAAGCATGTGTTGTGCGTTGAAGAAATCTGCTAGAATCGCAACTCTTATATATATATATATATATATATATATATATATGCATCACCTGCATACTTCTAATGCAAATAATTACCACCAGAATCTAAACACCTAACCTACACCGGAGTATACATAGAACTTGAATGAATAATAATTTTAATTTTTATAAGAACAAAGTTGATGAACGCGTCTTGGGGGACGGCTGGGGCATTAACGAGCCTGGCCTGAGGACCGGTTGCTTATCTTGGCCTTGTGTTCCGAGTACAAAGACATATCACATATGCCTAAAGCTTACTCGTATTTAAATGTGTTTGGTGTATATGTGGTCCCAACTTGGGACAACATTTTCGCTGGTAGACTTATTTTAATGAGCGTTTGTATATAGAGTGAGACCTGGAATTATCGCGCCGCAATGTTCCGCATCTGAAGGTTCCAGCATTACTAAGATGCGGTGAGCTTTAATACCTCATTCTTCACTTCTTTCTATGCAGTTGAATAATCTTATAGATGTTTTCCTGGTAATATTTAGAATTGTTTTTTTATTTATTCATCCGTGTTACACTCAGGCTGTGGACAATGCAAGTGAATTGTAAATGTTATTCTTGTAAGCAGCTAATATTGTAATGAGTAAGAGTTTACCTATTTTTGTTGGCATATTCAATACCTAACATAGCTAACACGCACACTTAACGTACATGTTGTTGCAATTTAAGTATGGCTATATAGTCGTTGTTTGTCTTGGTATTAACCAGTCATTAAAACATATTCAGTTAACTAAGCAATCGTGTAGGCTAGCTAGCTACATAGAGGCATCACCCCACATCAATTCTAATAGGTTTAGGGGTTATCTTGAGATAATTTCGGGGCTTAGCGTCCCCGCGGCCCGGTCCTCGACCAGGCCTCCTTTTTTATACCCCCCCCAGGAAGCAGCCCGTGGCAACTGTCTAACTCCCATGTACCTATTTACTGCTAGGTAACAGGGGCATTAGGGTGAAAGAAATTTTTTGCCCATTTGTCTCCGCCTTCACTGGGGATCGAACCCGGAACCTCAGGACTACGAATCCGAAGCGCTGTCCACTCAGTTTCAATATTTTTCATTGAAATAGGTGTTGTCTCCTAAAATAGTATTCTTGTGCGAATTGGCTGGGCATCATTCTTTCACTCTGGTTTACCTGAGGGCCACTAGCCCTAGTGGCCTCGACGAGGACAGGAAGCCGGTGGCTTGTCGCACGTCCCATTTGCCTTGATCTTTTCCAGTTATATTTTAAAACTCATCACAGTTTTGACATTTACGGCTTCGGCGGGTAGGTGGTTCCATGGGATAATAATAATAATAATATAATTCATTGTGTCGGGGGACACGAAGCCTGTGTTTTATACACGTTAGGCTTTTATCGAGGTTCAGGATGCAACCCCACAACAAGCTGAGTAACTCCTGAGTACCTACTTACTGCTAGGTGAACAGATGCATTAGGTGAAAGGAAATGTGCCCAACTATTACTGTCCTGCCCGGGACTCGAACCCGAAATTTTCAATTGTGCATCGAGAACGAACCCAATTGTACTACCGGAACCCTGAATAACTCTGTGGCTGAAAAAGCATCTCCTGTTTTCGGTCTTACATTGTGGTTTGTTGAGCTTGAAACTGTTGTTTAAACTCTAACCTCATATCCCAGCTTCTTGTCCTGATATCCTTCCAAGTGTATTTAGTATATTTATGCTGGTTTAGAGCTTTCTTCAGATAGTTACAATATCTTACTTTTTATTTAGTTCACGTCTTCAATGTGAAAGGCAGATTTTGTAATTAAAAATAATCAGAACAATTTAAAACTATACTATTATCATCTTCACCCTAAAGAAACATTTTGCCCAAATGAAACTGAATTGTTTTGTTTGCCTATAAGCAATAGGCTGTATACCTAATTCAGTGTGAATTTAATGGAATTGCATTGTTTCTTTCGTGGTCATTCCTCTTGTTGTTCTCGTAAAATGTCTTGTCTTCAGGATCATCGGAAATTTTGCATTCCCACGGTATGTTACACGTTTAATGTCCCAAGGTAAGTTCCTCAGTGAATCCCACTCATTTGATACCTTTTTACTACTCATACGTTTTTATGCTCTCGTATTGGCGTCCTGAGGACTTACTGAGGCCTCTGAAATATGTAGCATGTGTTATACTGGCTTAGCGTTTTATTTTGATAATTTACTTAGTTCAACTACACGACTGCATACTTAAACAAGTGCTGGATCGGCCACTATATGGTGGCTTGTGTGTGCTCTTGGATCTGCAGTAATTTAATGTGGAATTAGGGTGTAATCTAATGTAGCCCAATTTAATCCAGCAATGACAACATTGACCCCAAAACCTACGACATATTAAGCAAAATTTAAGACATTTGTCATGTTTAGTAAGCCTAACTCGCCGTTGAAGATTCGGTAAGCACCACGAACGACAATACCTTATTGGCGAACAGGAATAAAACGTATCAACCTCCTCTTAATTATAAATCACGAGACGCTGTAACATTATATATTCGTAATTGTTTTTACCGAATACTTGTAATACCCCTGCCACATGTATGGCTGCCCTGACCTCTATACCAAACCTCCCCATAACCTCTCCAGAAGTCAGGGATCTGTGTGGGATCCTGCAGGACTCTTCTGTACCTCACCTCTCCATTGGTCATGATGAGATGTGACGTGTATACAGAGTCCTACAGGGCTCTCCTTACACCTCTGGCTCTCTCAGGCCACCAGCCTTCCCAATAACCTCTTCAGAGGTCATGAAGGGATGCATGTACGGAGTCCTACAGGGCTCTTCAACACCTGCGTTCAGAGGCTACCAGCCGGAAAGTCATAATGTCCCAATATTGGCCATATTGCCACTTGGTGCCATGTATCCTTACCCCCTAGTGTGTAAGTGTGACACTCTTACCATCCTTCAGTCACTCAGGAGTCGAGATAGATTACTATATGTGGTTTCTGGGAGAGAGCAATATTTATTTATGTGGTTTTTACATTTTTGTAATTAGGTGTTCAACAAAAATATGTACGTTGGAAATAATATGTTATTCTTTCATCTTTTGGTAGTTTTATTCCATACCTTAAGGACTTCATGGCTTTTGACATTAGTCTAGCATGCCAATTTCATTTTAATTATATAATGCACTAGAAGGCTAGACATTTGATTCAGTGCCGGACATCTGACTCTCCACAACAGTTGTGGCTGATCTGAGTGTCCACACAAGTATACCTACACATGTGACTACAAGTTCAAGCAAGTTTATTGAGATAATAAAATATATTCCAAAACAATAAAGTAGCTTAGGCTATTTCTACCTTCCTTTGTGACTGCAAGATATATAATGATAATATAATAATACTAATGTTTATTCAGGTAAAAGTACATACAGTACATTCAAAATGAGTTACAAACAGAATGTTGGATTTATAGATAAAGCTAGTACATACTATGCCTAAAGCCACTAATACGCACAGCGTTTGCCAGAACTTTACTTTGAGCGAAATACTGTAGTTTACTTTGCACGAACAGAGAAAATATTCCATATTATAGAACTTGTCTTGGCAATAGCCCGGTGACCAAAATATGCAATCGTTTGAAAAGTTCACATATGCACCAGGAGGTGTATCCCGTTTCTCTGTGTACATAGTTTATTTTAGTCCTGCATTGTGCTCAGTTACTTTCGTTCATATATTACTCCATACCCATCTTGTGGGCGGAAATGGAAAGGGTTATAGAGGCACATGATGGGCTCAGGGACTGAACCCCACAATTCATTTAGCTCTTCCTCACTATCTGTTCACGAATAAAGAAGCCTAAACTCGCCAGCTTGTCACTATATCAGTATGCATGTGTTAATTATTATATGGCCTTATTAAACCTCCAGACCTTGATAGGATTCAGGCCCGACATGAATATACAAATCACATCAAAGATAACGACCGCGAGTGATTGGTTAATGAAGCAAAATGGTACTCAATACATGGTTGGTGCGGTAAATTCACATTATTAGATTGGGGTGGATCCCAATCCAACTAGATTGGGTGGATACAATTAAGTCATGTCGTACACAAGACGATTCGCCAGCGGATGTTTGGAACCTACTTAAACCAAAACTAGTTATACCCAACCCAACCTAACCTAACGCAACCCATCTAGTACAATACATCCTAACTTAAAATAATACAGCCTAGTATTTTAATGTATACGATTTTAATCAACAGAAAACGAGCATCGTTGAATCGTTTCGTGTACGAAACGACTATACCCCGATTGCTATTCTATTACCCCGATTGAGTATGGTCCTATGCTACAATGTACCTGTTGACAACCCTCAAATTTGACTATAAAGTACCTACTGATCTTAGTCTTATTTTCCTTTGTATTTTCTTACAATGTACCTGTTAACATTTCTCAATTTTGCTAGAAATTACCTACTTACAATTATCTGTTAGATTAAGGACCTGCCCGAAACGCTATATGCGTGTTGGTGACTTTACATGAATGTAAAAGCATCAATGATATGTACTCTCATAAACCCAATGCACGTTCTTGTATATATATGCATAAATAAATAAATAAATACATAAATTAATAAATTTGGTACCCAGCTGTGCTCGGGTCTTCCCCCCCCCCCTGTCTCCCCTCCCATTCTCTTCCTCTCTCGCACCTCTCATGTGCTGACCACTAACTACAGTAGGCACACTTGAGATAAAATGATACATCAGCATACCATTAAAATATTCTTACAAATTTCAGAGGAAAGTTTAAAAACATTCCCATCTGTTGTTTGAAACTGTTCGAGTTAGTTCTCTTGGCTTCAACGCGTGACGAAAGCTTATAAATGCCTTCGTAAACTCTTCATATATTGTAAACATTATTTATTGCTGGTTTAAACAAGAAATAAAAATATACATATCATTCTGTATACCCATTTTTGTATATGTTTGGATAGAATTTTATTAAAATGAAAGGGAAGGCGAGTCCAGAAGGTGCAGAAGGGGAGACCCACCTGCTGAAGACTCAGTCTGGCTCCTGTTGGCTCCTTTTGGCTCCTGTTGGCTCTACCTTCATTCAGGTCACAAGACATGCCTTCATGAGTAAGTAAAGCTAATCATTGATACCTACGTACATATTGAACAAGCTTGTAATGTTTGTAGGATATTTTTTTGGGGGGGTTAACCCAGTCTTCAAACTTTCTCTGAACTAGTGCCCATTGCTTGACACTCATTCATGGACGAGTTTGGCACTAGTTACATAGTTTTAAAATAACCATTGAGGCGCATATGTCCTGGCACCTGGGCATTCCCAGAATGTCCTTATTTTTGGCAGTGGTTACAAGTGGGAGACTTGGTGGCTGAGAATACCTCAGGTTGGTCTGACGTGTGTTCCCCTGGCAGTGTAGCGCTGGTCCTGCAGTGTAGAGCCGGTCCTGCAGTGTAGCGCTGGTCCTGCAGTGTAACGCCGGTCCTGCAGTGTAGCGCCGGTCCTGCAGTGTAACGCCGGTCCTGCAGTGTAGCGACGGTCCTACAGTGTAGCGCCGGTCCTGCAGTGTAGCGCCGGTCCTGCAGTGTAGCGCTGGTCCTGCGGTGTAGCGCCGGTCCTGCAGTGTAGCGCTGGTCCTGCAGTGTAACGCCGGTCCTGCAGTGTAGCGCCGGTCCTGCAGTGTAGCGCCGGTCCTGCAGTGTAGCGCCGGTCCTGCAGTGTAGCGCCGGTCCTGCAGTGTAGCGCCGGTCCTGCAGTGTAGCACCGGTCCTGCAGTGTAGCGCCGGTCCTGCAGTGTAGCGCCGGTCCTGCAGTGTAGCGCCGGTCCTGCAGTGTAGCGCCGGTCCTGCAGTGTAGGGCCATACCCAGGAATTAGGCAGCAATTGCAAGCTGCATCATCAGAGTGGTCAGTCACTGGCCTTTGGGGATGTCGGTAACTTTAATAGGCTTCCTATTCCCCAACAATGGGAAACATACTGATCAGAGTATACAGTACCAGTTAATTGAACCCAAGAGCTCAAGCTTAAGTACTGATCGTAACCAAGTGAATACATACTGTATATTCTGTACATACATATTCACCCATCCACTAGGACCAAAGAGCCAGAGCTCAACCCCCGCAAGCACAATTAGGTGTGCTTATTAATATATTAATGTTTAATAATTAATTTGTGAGGGCTCTTTATTATTACAGTATATTGTAATTATATTTGTGTGCAGATACTTGCTCTATCATGTGCAATGAGAAATTTAGAACTAAATGTGACACTGTACAGTACTCTGTAATCATACACTATTTAAAACTCGTGTATTATCTAAGACCTGGCTCCAATGTGTGATGGTATACAGTATTGTTATACAAGCAGTTGTATTGTAAGCAATGATCTTGTAACTAGAATTGACATTGTCATATACAGTATTTAAATATAAGGTGTACACTACTAATACATCAATGTCAAATATCCACTGGAGGTCTAAACTTAAACTTTATTTTAAGAGCTAAAATTTCCATGCAATTTTGCAGTACATAATTCTTTAATAGTGTGTGATCTTTCATTATTTTTAAATGCAATATAATCATTTGCAGCAGTCTTCAAAAGGTGAAATCATGAACAATGGGGTGGGTGCGGCGTGTGGTGGTGTGGTTGGCTTGGTGTGCTGCTGTTACTGCTACTATCAACCTACTCCTAGTGGCAAGAGCTCCACCAGTATCATCCCCGCTCCATCACCACCGCCGCATCCAGGCTCCCTCTCTACCACCAAGCTATGACCTGACAGGAAACAAGGTCTACCTCCAGGGAGAAGTTTATGCCATCAGGGACAGGTACAGTATTGGCTCTTGTTAAACGAGAGAATTTCAAGTTTTATGTTGATGTTTACATGGCTTCAGTGTTTTAACATACCGTAGGCTGTGTACACTGTCTTGAACTAAAATAATATGTTGTGCGTTTTATTCAGAAGTTGCATCCAAAGCCATTAACATGTTGATATTACTTACATTAAATTCATATATTGTAAGGGACTTCAGTGTCTTTTTATATTTGTCTCAAAACACAATTCATTTGTCAGTGAATACCACAGAAGGAACCAACGTAATCGGTCAGGGCTACAGATGCTTCACTCTCTCTACACACACCTTCCTGCTGTCAAAGCACGATATACATCGGTGTCTCCATATCTGCGAGATATTGTTGATAACTTGATGAAAGACATCATAAAGAGAAGAGTTACAGATGATCCCTGGGATTTAGCACATAAGGTCAGTTGCATAGATTTATCTTATGGCAGCTGGTTTTAAACTTGTTGTTAGCCTATTTGCTTGCTTTTATGTTTGTGGAATTTAATTGCATGTACAGTAGTGAATCTGGTTAATTTAAATGTATTTGTGGTAATAGTTTAAACTCTGAATTTACTTTCCTTCGGTCAGACATTTTATGTACTGTACACTTCAGAGTATTTAATTACAATAATGCTAATTAAAAGTGTTTCTTATTATTTTAATTCATTCATAATAAAGTGGTCACTATAGTGGTATGTTTAATGTGAGAAATAATAAAAGAATGACATCTCAATTTGTTACTTGTCTAATTTTACTAAATATTTGTAATTTGTAATAATAAGTTACAGAAAAAAATGTCATTGCTCGCTAGAAAAACCCTATGATAATGGCACAGGATTCCTGTGATGTTAGAATGGCATTCATTTGCTGATGTTAGGTGTTCTTGCTGGCCCTGGCACTTGTTACAGAGCCAGAGAGAACACTTAAAATCACATCAGCAAATGAATTCCCTTTTAACATAAAAGAATCCTTTGCAGTTATCGGTTTTATTTTTTATTTTTTTTTGCAACAAGTATTAACTCTGTAGTTACAACTTCGTGCAAAACATTAGGGGGTAATTAACTGGACCATCTCAGATTTACATATGGTAGGATTTATTATCAAAAAATATGTATGCAAAATGTTAGCTCTCAGTGATGCATGATAATCATACAACAGGGTTGCCAATGTGATAAAAAGCTCAAAATTTTTGCTTGCAAATCCCCCCCCCCCCCCAATGTGTAATAGTCAACAAAATAAAATCCAGCCCATCAACCGTGAAGAGCTCAGTCCCCCAGGGTACTGTGCTTGCTCCAGTACTTTTTCTCATCCTCATATCGGACATAGACCAGAACACAACCTATAGCACTGTATCATCCTTTGCAGATGACACTAGGATTTTCATGAGAGTTGGCAACATAGAGGACACGGCAAACCTCCAATCAGATGTAGATCAGGTCTTTCTATGGGCTACAGAAAATAATATGGTGTTCAACGAGGATAAGTTTCAGCTCATGCGCTATGGAAAAATTGAAAATATAAAAACAGAAACCACGTACAAAACTCAGGCAAATCATAACATAGAACGAAAAGGCAATGTAAAGGACCTGGGTGTACTCATGTCGGAAGACCTTACCTTTAAAGAACACAATAAAGTAGCCGTCACAACTGCAAGAAAAATGACAGGTTGGATAACAAGAACTTTTCACACTAGAGATGCTATACCGATGATGATACTTTTCAAAACGCTTGTGCTCTCTAGAGTGGAGTACTGCTGCACAATGACAGCCCCTTTCAAAGCTGGAGAAATTGCTGACCTAGAGAGCGTGCAGAGATCCTTTACTGCTAGAATCCACTCAGTAAAACATCTAAATTACTGGGACCGACTAAAGAGCCTAAATCTGTACTCCCTTGAGCGCAGGCGGGAGAGATACATAATAATTTACACGTGGAAAATAATTGAGGGGCTGGTCCCAAACCTGCACACAGAAATAACACCACATGAGACCAGAAGACATGGCAGGATGTGCAGAATACCCCCGTTGAAAAGCAGAGGTGCAACAGGTACTCTGAGAGAGAACTCTATCAACATCAGAGGCCCAAGACTGTTCAACACGCTTCCACTACACATCCCCCCCCCCCCCAAAAAAAAAAAAAAAATCATAACTTTGCTTCTAATTGAGGTAGAACTTTGATGTTGGGCTTGTTTTGAAGTTAAGAAAACATTATTTTCTTTAAAAACGGTTTTACATTATTGAATCTCTTATTTTCACAATCGCATGATGTGACCTTTGACATGCCTTGTAATTTACTTCGGTATAGGTTTCATTTTGTGATGGCTTTAGGAACAGGAGGGAAAGGGAACTATCGGGAGAAAGTGTCAAGACTATATAGTACTTGGAATGGATCGGAATAAGTATTTTGGATGGGACAGGGGAAGAAATAGTGTACAACCACTTGAACACTCGGGGATTCAATGCCGACCTGAAGTGAGGGGGTTGCTCTACCATCCAGCCTAAGTGGCTGGGCACACCTGGACCACATCCAGGTGCATGTATAATCTAGATTTGGGAACAGGAGTAAAAATAAAAATTATAAAGAATAGGTTTTTAATAGTTAATATATCTTGCACTGAACTTGCATCGGGCAAGTTCAGACTTGTTTGATAGTCTCTTTATATACTGTACTTACCAGTACCTTTATTACCAGTTAATTGACAGTTTAGAGGCAGGACCAAAGAACCAAAGCAACCCCTGCAGGCACAACTAGGCGAGTACTTCTTAGTAGAGTTGCCAGCTTAGCTCTTTTTTTTTTTTTTTGTTTACCTTAATTTTGCAATGTTTTTGTACATTTAGTTCGTTTCAAATATGGCTTCTAATTTATAGCAAATTCTGTGCAGTTGTCTAAACTGATATTAAAACTGATATGTGGATGAGCTGGACTAGGCTTAACTTTTAGTTTTTAATTCCTGTTGCTAACAAATTCATTTGTTATAAATAAATAACAAAAAGCTGTTTTTGAAGCATTTCACTTGGCATCGCTGCTTCTCAGTCTTGCTAGATCTTCCTTGCTGTAAGGAAGGAAACAATTCCTAAGAGTCCAATATGTGAATGATGGTGAAGCATGAAACTTCTCTCATGACAACAAAATCGAATGCCATATTGAGAGGCCAGGCTGGTTCCAACAATGCATAGGAAGGGTGAATGTGAAAAATGGTTTTACTAAGCTGAATGAAAGTAGGGGCTTTAAATGTTATCAAAACCAAACAAGAGTGTCTCCAGATGGGGCACTAGTATATTATAATAGGCAGGAGCTGACTTACTTTAAAAAGTGGCAAAAAAAAAATGATGTAATGATAGCCACCAAGAGTAGATACACAGTGGAATTTAAGAAATCTATGAAATGACTGCCAAGCCAACTCATTTAGGTGGGGATACTAGTATTTGAAAAGCTCCCCCACTGAGCTGGGAGGAATGTCGATCTGCGTTACTATACTTGGTCCTGTCTTTGGAAAGAGCAGGATGTTCTCGGAAGCAGCAATCAACTGGTGTAAGGTACAGCTCGTAAACAGTTTGAAGAATAGTATCTCGAAATTTTGTTAATTCTAACCATAAGTTTTAAAACTATTCTATAAAAAAAAATCTGACATTAAAACTCACACATAGAGCTAGTGTTCAGTTAGGTCACATTAAGATAGTTAAATGAAAATTGGCACAAGAATGCATCTCTTTTTATTAATGAAAAAACATGCATACAGTAGTACTATTACTTTGTGTGCACAATGTAAAGTAGTTGAAAGAGGTTGGTTGTTTGTGAACAATTTATCAGCAGGAGGCTGAATTAATGAGGAATGAAGAAGCAATAATTATGGAAAATGTTTTGCAAATACATATACAGTACTTTACAAAGAAACAAATATGTTACATTGGAGATACTAAAAGCTATATGCCAGTACTTCTTTACAAAAATGCTTACAGTGGGCGAGTCCAAGATCCCTGGTTCCAAATTCCGCTCGCGGCTTGGGAGACGTGCTGGCTGCCCTCTCTACTGCACCCATCATAGCTGCTGATGTAGGCTACAAAGGCACACAACTTAAGGTTGCTGTCATGCTTAAAGGTGGCCAGAGAGCTGTGTTTAAGCCAAAATGGTTAGTGGAGTTAATTTTGTAAATGGTTTAGCTTATGCTGTACATTTATGAAAAACTTGTGTGGGTAAATATTGATTTTATGAGAGCTCTGTCATGGCTGAGGTAAATGTATTTTGTTTATTGTTTTGTAAGAATTTTGTTAACTATTTAGGCATTTTAGGACAAAAATTTAGACCATCTGTGTGCATGAAAACCAGGAATATTGGAAGGGCATCATGACACACAGCGCCACCACAACCTGCATGTTCATGCATGTCTTATAAAAATCATAACAAAGCACTCTATTGTATTCTTATTCGGAAGTAATTGTCGGTGAATTGCTAGGATGGAAATTGCATACAAGTTCTGTACTGTTGTTTAAGAAATGACTTATGGTTAAGATTAACTGAATAAAAAATCGTGCACAAATTTTGTCACTGCTAAGTAACTACAATATAACATAACTTTATAATCTAACTTAGTGTAACATATGAATTTGGTTCAAAAACAGCACAAAAGTATCTCAAAAAGGTGGAAATAGTGTGGAAGTTTACTGAATTTATATGAAGCACAGCCAGTCACCAAGTTGTGTTATCTACTTGAAATAGAAATTAAGTTCATTAGACTTAACCTATTTGGGCCCAGCTTAGTAGTGTGCATTGATACTAAAACTAACCAAAAATAAATTTATTGATGGCTGATCACCATTATATTTTTGTATGTACTCTATTTATTTGAAAAGAGTTTTTCTTGTATATAATAATATTACTATTAATAAATTATTATTTTTTATACTAAATATTATAATATTCCTACAATGTAAACATTGTAGAAATTTATTTTGTTATAAAACCAACAAGAAGTCTTCAAGTCCACTACATTGTGTTTATCCTTAAAACCTCAAACCTCTGGGTTGTCTAGTGCAGGACAGGTTGGCAGGATTGTGTCTGAAGGACAGGCTTCAGCTATGCTTTCTGAGTTATGCCATTTGTTTACTCCCTTTGGCAGTGTTCTGCAACAGGTAGATCAGGTCAACAGTTACGTCCTGGCACAGTGGGGGAATCTTTTCAGACATTCCTAACGAATTGTACTGGGGCGAGAGAGACACGGGAAAACTATCATCAAAACTGGAATGGCCTTTAATTTGTTCGTCCCTTTATACTCAAAACACTTTTGTTATGTAATATTTAGCCTAGGAGACCACCAAGTATCGGTGCTAATTCTTGTTGGCTCACTTGGCCGCTATCCCAGACTGCCTCCAGACGAACAGATGGATATGTATGAAAAATCCATCTTGCACCAGGCACTCTTTGTTGACCTGGCCTGGCTCTTGTGTGGTCCTGTCTAAGGGAGGAACAGAGTAACCTGCTCAGGAGTAGTTTTGCGTTTACTGTATACTCGTAGCTTTCTATTCGTTTCTGACAGTTGGCCTAAACTTAATATAGAAAATAGCAATGTTCAAATTTATGATGGAAGGTGATGACACTTATAATACGTACATGGGGTAAGTTTTTATTTTTATGGCCATGTGTATATAAAAAATTCTACTTCTTGAAAAGATACATTTTTCTACACTAATGCTATTTTGTCATTATTTGCTTCTTGGCTTCCTTTGCTATTGTTTTTTTTCTGCTTCATTATGTTTTCAAATTCTTTCCTTGTTTTGTCAATTTCCTCATGTTTCATCATACTTTTAAATGCTTTCCTTGTTTCATCATGCTTTTTAATTTTTTTTCTGGTGCCTTTTCATATTTACTCAAAGGTTAAATTTTGTGTATCTGGAATTCTATTTTAGTTTGTTATACTTACAGACGTTACATTTGCCTGCCTTGGAGAGCATAGGTAACTGAGTAGGATCTTTTCAGAATAGTGTTAGTTTATTTAACTACATTTTCTCTTATATCCCCAGTCATATGGACTGGTCAGTACAGCAACAGTCTTTGCTTTTCTTTCAGGTTGACATTTGATCCCTGATAGTCCAAGTGGTTGGCCCCATTCCTTCACTGTCTTCCTACCCAGCTCCTATCATGTCCTCGTATTCCTTCCATGTGCTATATAGTCGTTCTGGTTAAGTGCTTTCTATTCATAATTTACTTTTCTTATTTGGAGTTAATGAACTTCACCTTTTCACCAATACTGAAGGAAGGTCATGAAGAAAGCAAACGTCTTAGTTTTATGTTAGAATTATTTACAGTGAAAGTATTGTACTGGTATTATCCATGTTTAAAAGAAGGAATATCTTGCAAGATTAGTGTGAGCTGCTCTTAATTTCCATAATTGTTATTTACCTTATAGGTATCCTCGTGAGGAGGTCATAGAAGGTGAAGTATATGCAGGTGCTGACCGCCACAATGGAGAAATTGCTGCTTTTCACTTAAGTCGTCTTCTAGATTTGCCAATGGTACCCATGGCAGTTGGGAGAAAAGTCTCCTTGAAGCAGCAAATTTTACCTGTGGCAACAAGAAAACTTTCTGCGACATTCTTTTCAAGGAGAGGTTAGATATTGCAGTCAGTGTTATTCAGGCTTCTTACTTAGGTGTGGAGATCTTTGAAAGAAATTATGGTTTATTATTCAGTGTCTTTATTTTGCATTAGGTTAATATTGATGAAAATCTCGGTATTCTTAATATTTTATATTTGCACGAGTGTGGAAATGTGGTTTGTGCTGGGGATAAATTGTTATTTGCAGACATATATGTAGTTGCTACAGTGTTCTTGTTGAGAGTGAGTAGGAATTGCAAAAGATTGTGAATTTAGTTGTACAAGACAAAAAAGTTGAAAGTTATTTGGGAAAAGTGAGATTTTGGTGATTTGAGAAAAGGAGATGAGAAGTTAATTTGCTCCATTTAATAAAAATGGTACAGAGATACTGGAAGAGGTACTATAGTAAATTTTAAATACTTGTTGGCAGTACTAGATATAAATTGTAGTATGGAAGGTGAAATAAGAGAAGATAGAGGTAGAAGTGAATAGTATAATAAAAGGAAGGAATGTTAGTATTGGTGTTAAGACAGGACTGCAAGATAGTATACTACTGCCAACTCTGAGATGGAACTGAGTCTATAGACTTGTGATTCTTATTGTGCTGGCAGCTGCCTATAGCAAGGCTTTCCTTGTTAATGTTATTGACTACTTCGTGTCTTGCATTCTTGTCCCTCCCAGCTGCTACAAATGACACCGGAGGCTATATAGGTCAACTATTGCGCTGCTTAACTATTAATGACTATGGGAGAGTCTGATTATTTTATGCCTTACCTCTTAAATGTTTATACTTGACATTAACTCTCAACATTAACATTATCATATTTTTCTTAGTTGAATGAGGATAGAAATAGCAAGGCTAAGGTCTATACCAATGCAGTGCTATCACCACTAGAAGGCAGGCTTTATTGTCTAGCACTGTTAGGAATAATGGGCAAGGTGGTATTGCCAAGGGAAGATGGTATTGCCAAGCTGTCTGGCTTATTGAATCTTGCACGAGTCTTGTGTGATCTAGTAGAATATTCTGAACCAGTTCATTAACAGCAATGCACAAGAATATATATGCCTGTAGCGCTGTCTGCATTACCTTGCATACGGCTGTCCTTTCTAGTCAGTTTTTTGTTATCTACAGTACACTGTACATGTATATTTATATGTTGTATCTAATAGCCAGAACTGTACAAGTTTTATACATACATATATACATGCTGTACACTATATATATTTTTTTTTTTTTTGAGATATATACAAGAGTTGTTACATTCTTGTACAGCCACTAGTACGCGTAGCGTTTCGGGCAGGTCCCTGGAATACGATCTCCTGCCGCGAAGAATCGTTTTTTCATCCAAGTACACATTTTACTGTTGCGTTAAACAGAGGCTACAGTTAAGGAATATATATATTCACACTGCATATATCAAATTTATTATTTTTGATAACTTTTCAGCTGCCTTGCTCATGCCATGAACAAATCAATATTCACTAGTAGTAGGGAGATAATTGGTGGCTTTACATGTGCTAATAATTCTGTCCAGAATGTGTGGCACATAATGTATAAAAAGTCAAATGCTACATTACTTTGAGAATATCATATGATGTGACTGCCACATCATCTTCTTTGATGGTATCATGATGGTTTTGCTAGTCATTTCTATTTTTATGCTTTATATGGCTCATTTATTGTGTTTACAAATATCTTCAGTTTTCTAGTTATTTCCAGGGGGACAACATTGTTTTTATGGAGTTTGCCACTACTGCCGTAAGGACTCCTCAGTGTGTGATAATGGTCGCACCCTAGAGGGCACCATCATCCTTTGGTTGCCTCCCAAGCGTCTTCCACTCATGCACCAACCACACCCTTGGGCACGCACATACAAGCGCACAAAGTTGGCTAAGTAAGTTTGTTATTGCACTGATCTGTATCATCATCAATTCTTACTTGGCCAACACTGCAGCATACCATTGGATAATTTGCCACTTGCTCACTCTAGTGCTATCCCATTTACACTATGCATGTGCATCTTGCTCCTCTAAAGCTGCCTTTTCATCACCCAGCCTTCATTACCCTTCAACCTTCACTGGTCAAAATTTCTGTATGTGCTCCAAAGACACGTCTTTGCTAGATTTGTCCCATTACCGTGACCAATGTGTTTTCACACATTTTGAAAACACACCTTTCAAAATGTTTCACACTTTATTACTTTGGCCTGCTTCCTATCAGACATGTATCTTGTTCATTTATTATACCACTGTACATCATGCTTAGTATAATGATATCCTTTATCATCTCTGAAATCTTGTTTAGTCAATTCTATCTTATTTGCCTACCTTACTGGCATTGTATTTTTCAATATGCTTATCTTTTATGAAGACTATATACAAAAATATTATGTGACTGTTGTTGAAAATATTGTAGGCGGGATCATTTCCTTTGCTCTTGCCATTGACGTGTCCATTCTTCTTTGTCACTTCCTGAATCGGTAAAAATCACGATCCTCTCTGGTGGGACTTTCCGTGAACTTTTCCTTGGTAGCATTAGAGATCCTTGATTGGGAAAAGCCTTTTTTATATTCAAGATCTCATTTTTAATGTCTGCACTTTTCCTCTGAATACCCAAGATTTTTGTGTATGTCATTGAAAAGCAATATGCCTGCATCCATAAATGCAACCTGGACTGGGATAAAGGTAGCAACTTCCACAGTGTGTAATATTAGATAAACATTAATGACATTTGTAAATACACATTGCTCATTAACTGTGTAAATGCAGTATGTAAATAAGGTTCTACACAAGGCCACCCCCACAAGGAAGGCCACAGAGCATCATTGATAAAGATAGGGAAATTGTTTTACTCTTTACAGGTGGGAAGAAAATGACAATTTCTGCGAACTTGTGCTACATCACCCTCACTTCAACAGTGATAAATCTCCAAGACTCTTGGACCTCATGGATACTGCTGTGTTTGACTTCCTCATCCAGAATGGGGACAGGCATCACTACACTGTAGTGTCAGGAGAATTTAGCTCTTCAATTGTTCTTCTTGACAATGGAAAAAGGTAAATTACTTGAGTATGATTTTGCTGTACAGTTATTGAAGGCTCTGTAACAAATTTTTCCGTTTTATTGCTACAGTTATTTATTATAAATTCTCTCCTAAATTCATGCTCATTATTTGTACAGTGTAACTTGAAGAAGTCAATAAATACTGAAAAGTATGAAACGCATTTTTGAATGGTTTACTTGTACAGTAAATAATTTTGTTCTAAAATACAAAAAATATAATAGTGTTGTATAAAATTACAAAAATTATGTCTCTTTGAATTGGACGCAAAATTGGTCTCTTAGGCAAGCTCCCAATTGCCCATGTTGGAAGCCTAAAATGTTTGATATTTTTATAATTATGTACTTTTCATACTCTTTATCTTTAGAATGAAAATACTAATTTAATGCAGGTTAAGATTTTTTAAGTTGCAGTAGAATCCTTCCTTCAAATTTCAATAGGAATGACTTGAATTTTTCAAATGAGTGCTTCAAGACGGGAAATGTCGTAGATTAAATGGCAAAATTTGCTACACGTCACTACAGCATGTAACCCATTACAGTAACATTCGTAGTCTGGTGTCTCAGATTAGACATTTTTGGGGGGATTTACTCATTATCAGTTATAAAAAAAAAAACAAGAGATTTACACCTTTAATATGAACGAATTTGACATTTTCTTTTGAAGCAAAGTACTTTTTCCAGACATGAGAGTTTGACGTTCTGAGGTTTTACTGTATATAGTACACAATATAATCTTAATATTTCTACTGCTTGATACCCATTTGATTGAATTTTGTTTTTATTTTCATACATAACATTACTGGACACAGTATTCTGAAGTTTTTATTATAAATGAGTAAAAATAATGTTATTTTGCAGCTTTGGTGATGCTTATATTGACCACATGGACATTTTGGCACCTTTACTACAATGCTGCAGGTAGAACATTTGTTGGTTTCTGTAACTGTTAATTGTATAAGAATTTATGATGTAAATTTGGGAAGAATTTTCTTTATTAAGTAAAATCCTGTTGTGGAACAAGCACAAACAAAAACCTATTTTTTGAGAGAGTAATATATGAAGATTTACAAGTAATTTTCATTGCTGGTGACAGGAAGCCAGTAATTACGCTTATTGAGGTTTCAGTAGGCCAACTACTGACCTTTGTCAGGATGCTACCCACAATGGTCATCTGACTCCCGGGTACCTATTTAGTGCTAGGTGAACAGTAGCATCAGGTGAAAGGAAACATGCCCAACCATTTTTTTTGTCCTGCTCAGAAATTGAACATGCATCCCTCGGTTGTGAGATGACACTGCTACAGACTGGGGCCAGATTCACAAAGCAATTACGCAAGTACTTATGAACCTGTACATCTTTTCTCAGTCTTTGGCGACTTTGTTTGCCATTATTAAACAGTTAATGAGCTCCGAAGCACCTGGAGTCTGTTTATAACAATATCAACAGTTGATTAGGAAGTTTTCATGCTTATAAACTGTTTAATAAATGTAAACAAAGCCATCAAAGATCGAGGAAAGATGTACACGTTCGTAAGTACTTGCGTAACTGCTTCGTGAATCTGGCCCCCTTGTTTTTGTGTTATCATATGTAAAGAATAGAGTAGGGTCTGGGTTATCTTTTCTTCAGATGTGGTCTACAGTTATAGCATCTCGAGGGCAGTACTGTACAGTGGTGCCCAAACCCCCCCCCCTCTCCCCTCTCTCCCCCAAACCACTTCTACCTCACATGTTTGCATGGCTATTAAAATTACATAATTATAAATTATAAATTAGTACTGGTAGCAAATTTTCAGTTTTAGATTTTTTTTATGTACTGTGTATGTTCTGTTTTTGTCCACTTGAGGGCCTTTACAATTAATTTTTTTTAATTGTGACTATATATTCTAAGTCAGAGATATGTTGACCACTTTTCTAGGGTGTTTTATTGCTGCTGGAAAATAAAAAAGCTGTTCTAGTTAGGAACTAACATAGTTATGGACTGCTGGGTTAAAGGAACTGAATCTAAGAACCCCCCAGAGAAGAGAAGGACCAGATAAGCAAGGGCTCATTATACCCACTGAACTCTCTGTAATGCCTATATTTATTATACTTTCTGTACTTAAAAAGTATTACTTATTTTCTACTTAAATTCTGAACTAATTATATTTCCTGTACTTGTTACACTACTCACTTTGTATGTCTGAAATATGCTTGCATGGGGATTCTTCTTGATGAGCTACAAACAAAATGTCTAGTTACTATTACTGAATGTTGATGGCCATACTGTTACATGCCCGGTGTTATTGATACGAATTGCAGTATATGCCTTAATATTTGAGCATTGTTAATTTAGTCTTAAGAGTATTATGATGCAGAAATACCATTAATAATTTTATTAATTCAAAGTCCATATAAATTGGAGTAACCCAGCATACCTATTGGTTGGTTGGTAAACATGATATCATTACACAAGGCTGTAAACAAATCATGTTAACACAAATAATGTTTTTATATATGCCGTTGTTTTTTCCTTAGATTACGACAGTCAACATATGAGCGACTGGTCCTCCTAAGTGGTGGTGGATTGTCACAGGCATTAAAAGAACTGTTGGCTCAAGATCCCATTTCGCCTATTCTTACCAAGCCCCATCTTTATGCATTGGATCGTCGAGTTCTTCACATCTTGGCAGCCCTGAGCATGTGCAGGGAGCGGAAAGGTGGTTGGCATAATGTTTTGTTTTAGTTGTATTTTACATTCACAAGGTAGAAGTAAGATGCAGTGACATTCACATCACTGCAGATTGTTAATGGTGCTTATTTCTAATATAAAAATTGCTATGCTTTGAAGGTGCTCATTATGCAATTTGTTATGGTGCTTTTATGTGATAGATAGCCAATTCTTCATTACAAATTCATTTACATTACCTCAGTTACGCATTTAACTTATAATTGTAACATATTTGACCCCTATATATTATGTGTGATTGTAACTTGATTAAGAAGTTGTGTGAACTCGTGAACTCTTTTGGCATCTGCATCTGAAGACAACGGCACAAAATGGTGTCGGCAACAATGTTCACTCAGGGTAAAGTTACTTAGGCTTCATTAGTAATATATGTAGCTGCATTTTCAATGGTGGTAGAGACAAGTATTTTAATATAAGATAACTTGTTTTAGATTGTTCAGTTATCAAACATTTCAGCTAATGGACTAATGGTAAAAAACAGTTTGCTCAGAGGGGACGTAACTACTAAAAATATAGTACGTATGTGAATACTCTCAGGTAGTTTGTACTTGTCTGTGAGCTAATATGGTTTTGCTACCCTGCCCAAGGCCAGGTTTCCAGGGTGTTATTTGATGGCCAATCCACACACTAGAAAATGAAGGGACGACGACATTTCGGTCCGTCCTGGACCTTTCTCAAGTGGATTGCTTCCTGGGTGTTAACCTGTTTACTTAAATGTTAGCATCGCACAGGCTAACTTGGCCATCACAACCCAGTCTATAATGCACTTCCTCCTGTAGATGCTCATCTGGTTCCTTTTCACGAATTGTTGTACCTTTGTTCTGGCACTAATTCTGATACCTGTACTGTACTTGCTGGTTGGAGGCTGAATAGTAATGAGTACTGATAATACAATGTTCACAAAGTCATCTTCATGCTCTTCTCATTATTTTATTTTGCACCTTCTACCAGCAAGTTATTGTTTTAGTGTCATAGTTTATAGAGAAGGTAATGTGTTAAGGACTGGAAGGTTGTAAGCTTATTAAATGCAAGCAAAATTTTATGGTAATAATTGAGAGGTTGAAGGTTTTCAACCCTCTCCGACTCACCTGAATATACTCGCCTAGCTGTACTTACAGGAGAATGAACATCTCTAGGTTGTGCCTCTCAGCTAAGGTAATATACAGCAGAAAAAGAACTTACTGTGCTCTGAATGCTGGTGATTTGTGTTTTAGCTCAATTTGTATTATGAGATTTGATCTTGTGTGTGGATATATGAAAGTTTATACAAGAATAGGTCTTGTTCTGCAGTTTTATATATTGCTACACTGACCACACACAAGTGACTCGGGCAAAGCCAACTGCTGTACATATAATGTAGATATGTTGTTATTATTATTATTGTTATTACATTCGAGAGAATATTTTGCCAGATACTATATAGTAATTAAGGTGAAGTACAGTAAAAGGGAAAAATATATGTATACTGTAGATAAAAATATTTGAAGAGTTCTATACTATCACTCCAGTTCACTGTGAAGAAAATAACCAAATAATTTTCCATTTAGACACCAGAGGTCATGTTTTCTGGTCCAGGTACTATTTTGTTATAATCATGATGTTTACATTTAAGTCTGTTCTATAATTTGTTATAATTTTTGAACTTATTACAATCTTGAAAAACAAATAAGCAGTCAACAAAGTTATTTTAATACACAGCAGTATCTCTGACTTTAATAAGGATATTTAATTATGCTCCAGGATGTGAAGACCCCTAGTTGGTAGCACACTTACTTTGCAAGCAAGAGCACCTGGGGATTAAATCCTGAGCAGGGTGTAAAAATTGGATGTCGTTCCTGGGCTCCATTGACAATGCACCCAGCAGTAAATGGGGAATCTGTCTGTACAATAATGGAATTTTCTTGTATTGCCAAAAAACCTTTTGATAATTTAAAAAAAAAAAAGGCTGATTAGCAGGTTGGAAAAGCAGGTTCTGGTAACTGAGAAGATACTGGACTGGCTTAGAGAGCATCTGATAAACAGGAAATGGAGAATTGTAGTAAGAGAAGTGTCAGGGTAAAGAAATAAGGGTAAACGGGGTCCTGTAGGGATTAGAACTTGGAGGGCTAATGTGCCTAATTTATGCAAATGATCTCTCAGAGGAGGTAAGGTCATACATGACAGTGTTTGTAAAGGAAGCAAAAGGGGCAGAAAGGAATGGGTGGACCATTTGCTACTAGTTTAGTTGGAATAAAAAGGCTGGCTGGAATCTACTCACCCTCCATGATACTCTTTCCAACCTATCTGATCTGCCTCTCCTTTGAGCCCCCCTTTTTCATGATGCCTTGTTTGGCACCATCCTCTTTTTCCCCTTTCTGCCTTCCAAGCCTCACGGAATTCCATTTCCTAGTGGAATTTGGACTGTGCTCGGCCTGTTCGCTGTAAGTGTGCATGCTGGAAAAAGACTGGTGCTGACAAACACCCGATTCTTCTATTTTGTTTCAGGAGCAAGTGTGGTGGCCTGTAGGGGCATCCATACAGCTAAGCATGAGATTTGGAAATCTTATGTTTTCACCCTTATGGCTTACACACCTCTCCTTCAGATCTGAAAGAAAATCTGCAAGACGGCGGGTAAGTTTGTTCCAGATATTTCGCCTTTCCATCTCCATGGTTCTGTCGTGGTTATCTGGTGTCTGTTATAAATTAATTGGGAATCTCACTTTTCGACTGTTGGCTCTGGTTCTTGTCTTCCTCCTCCTTTCCTTATTGAATTTCATCAGACACTAGCACCCATCTCCAGTTTCCCTATAACCATCCCTTCTCTCCAGTCTGCCCAAACCCTCTGCAGTTTTATGGCAACGAGTTCAGACGGCATTCATTATGAAATTCTGCGCCATCTGCCTCCATGCACCTTTCAGTATTTGCTGAATATTTATAACCATATTTCACGGGGGGAGTTAATCCCACAAGGACTGCCTAAAGGCAGTTCTTCCTATTTGGAAACCTGGTACTTGCAGGACATCTAGAGATTTCTGCCCCATTGCCCTGACAAGATGCATCTGCAAACTTTTTGAATGTATGGTCAATGAAAGTCTGTAGTTCCTAGATGACTTGTTTGGTGCCTTCGTTTGATACTTACTTCCTAGATACTTATCACCGCCTCTTCCCTTCCCAGTTTGGCAGCATCCCACTCTTCCATCATTGCTTCCGTGCTAGTCGTTTGCTTTAAGTGAACTATCTACCGTCCACCACTTGGGGTGGACGGTAGAGCTACCGTCTCGCTTCATGCAGGTCTGCGTTCAGTCTGTTGGCTACTCTGTTGTCTTTCCTGACCAAACCTGTATGTGCAGCCTGCTTCCCCAACCTCGGCATTCTTTTGTCATTGTGGTTGACTCTTGCAGTACCCTTATGGCCCTAGAGTCACATATCCTGTGGTAGTTGAAATTCAACATTGGCTATTTCTTATCTCTAACAGATTTAAGGGAGTCGAGTTTTGCTGGGTTCCCAGCCATACTGGTATTACCTTAAATGAACATGCGAACACTGCCACTATTTGCACTTGTCTGCACTGCCACTATTAGACTGTCTGCACTTGACCTATTTCCAAAAGAGACATTCCTTATTCAAACTTCTACCACTCATTCATGTCTCAATCTGCAACTGCTGGCAGAGTTGTTGGTCTGGTGTTACAGGTAACAAACTGCACTCTCTCAAAAGTAACGCCTCCCTTGGCCTTTCTACTACTACTGTAATAGACAATGGAAAATGGCTTTGGCTAGGTTGTGTGTTGGTCATACATGGTTAACTCCTGAACATTTAATGGTTATACTGCTCTGCTCCTTACTGTCCAAACTGCATTGTCCCACTTAGTCATACAACTAATTTTGAGGACAATATTATGTCTTGCTTTCCTAATATCTTTCGAAGATATTTGTGTCTCAAAAAAATCCTTGGTGAATCTGATAACTTTGATATCGCTCGCATTGTGTGTCTCATATTAGCATCCTTGGTGATATTTAGTGCCTTCTGAATATCCAGCAACACTAATGATGCTACATATTCTCCCCAGCTTGGTGCTTTCTTATGATAATTACCTACTGGGCAATGTAAGACCAATGGATTTTTTTTTTCAACCCAGTATTTTTTGTTCAAACTGAAGTAGTAAACCCAGGGAGCTTCATTAGTTATACTACACATTCTCTCTCTCTCTCTCCCCCCCCCCCCCCCCACACACACACATTCTTCTCACCGACACATCATCGTCCCAGTCATCCATCCAACAATCAAAGCTCACTGTCAGTCTTCACTGCCGTCCCACCAGTCCTCTAAGGTTCCCCTCCATCTAAACTGTAACTAGTACCACTGTAATAGTGGAATTCTAGCCACCCAACTCATAACCTTGTAGTGTGAGGTGCTTGGCATATGTGAATGGGGCATGTTCATTGGTTGCAATAATAATTATAATAAAAAAAGTTATTTTGACATATTGGTGAAATTTGTTGTAGCTGTGGCTAGACTTTGCAGTCTGTGATTATTGTATTTATTATGATCCAACCCGTCCTCTTAAAAAATGTCGCTTTTCGCTTGTATGCACACTGTGGCCAAAAATGGACGTAATTTTAATTGAAATCAGCTCACGAAAGTGATGTACTGTCCCGTTTTCTGTTTGAGTCCTCTGGCTTACTCAGAAAGGTTAGGAGAGGAAACTTTCCATTAACATTTTTCATGGCATTTTGAAACTTAAGAATTTCCTGCCCACCTAACCTACAAGAGGGCCCTTAACTTAAATTTTGGATTTTTTTTTTCATTTTCAAATTACGTCCATATTCGGCCATACGGGCAAACGGCCAATTCAGCCGTAATTTGTGAGAGAACAGGTTGTATGATCAGCCATTGTCACAGTGAAATGTGAATAACTACTATTCTAGTTAATTGGTGCTTATAATGTAAACTGTGTATATGGTTTGACCGCTTGCCGTTGAATTTATATGTATACTAATATTTTACTTGGCTAATAATTAGTATATTGTTTCTTAATTTCAGCTTCTGTATACTGAACAGTTTTTTGTTTTTAATGGTCAAATGTCCAGTGTTGTAGTATTTACATTTATAGGGTCAAGCACTTAACTTTGTATAAACAATTATCCTGAGCTAATGTCTTCCATAGTGTTGTATTCGTCTGTTATATAAATTAAATAACTAATAATTCAGACTAATGATACAATAAAGTGCAAATCTCTTAGAGGTTCTCCGTGAACTTTAAAAAAAAAAAAATGTATTTTAAAGCTCTGTACAAAGTAGCCTTAGAGATCTGTTAATTGTTTGGTATGTCAAGAAAAAGAAAATATTTGACAGCTCCTTTAACACAATCACTGTTCTCCTCCAATGATTTTGTCCTGGCCTTTTATAGGTTCTGTTTAGTTAGCTGATGTCTTGTTGTGGACAGATGGAGCTATAATTTCTAAGGCCAAGAGGACAACAATAGCTACTCTGCTAGAATACAGATAAAGAGTATGCTGGTATATACTTGTCACTGTATTGAATGGTTTACAGATTTTGTACTTGACATGTTATTGAACAATAATTGAGGAATATTGGCCCGTATTAGGCAGTTCCTACTTGTGTACATCTAAACATTTACAGGTATATATATGCCTAACCTATGCTTGAAACAATTTTGTTAGCTGCTTGATGGAGGTTCTGGGAGTTCTTCTACAATCCTATTGATCCTATTTTATGTTTTTGTAATTTTATAATCAGTAATTTTATTACACGTGCATGACGATAAACTGTGCACTCTTAAAGGTAATTTATTCCCTTGGCCTTCCTCCTACCACCATAATAAGCAGTGGAAAACTGCTTTGGCTAGCTTACATATTGGCCACACACACTTAACTCACAGGCACTTAATTGAACACTGCCCTGTTCCTTATTTTCCAAATTGCATTGTCCCACGTAGTCATGCACCTCCTTGTAGAATGTCCCAATTTTCGGGACGATCATGTCTTGGCTTTTCTCATGTCCCGAGATCCTTTGTTCCTCAGTGGTATTCTTGGTGAATCTGATACCTTTAATATTGCTTGTCTTGTCTGCTTTTGTTATTGTATTGGCATCCTAATTGATATGTAGCATCCTTTGAATGTCTAGCGACACTCACAGTGTTACGTAAAGTCTTCCGACTTGGTGCCTTCATGTGATAATTATATGTGCATGAATGTATTTTGCTAAAACATTTCAAAATGAAACCATTCAGTAAAATGTTACATTTATAGAGTAAAGCACAAAGATAAACTTATTAATTCTAGTTGACTTGGCAATAGTTATAAAGGTAAAAAAAAATTTTGAGGATTTCAGCAACTAAAAATTTTAGAGGAATATGATACTTCAAGTTTATCACTTAATGTGCCTTGTGTGTAGTACTGTAAGTGAACAAAAATGGGTTGTTTTCAAATTATACAATTTATAATATGTAGAATATCAGAATATATTACTAAGAGATAGTGCAAGGTAGATAGTTTGTGATTTGCAACACCATCGATGAAATCAATATGATGGTATACAATAAGCCTCGTGTTCTGTCATGGGTCATTATAATATCTACATGTTGATGCACAAGTGGTTGTGACTGATAATTTGTTATCACCAAATTAATTACAGATCATTGAACATTGTCCTGCAGTCCAAATGTGTGTTGCTGAAATATTAAGTCATTATCTATTTGCATTTTAACATTTGTAAAGCTTTTAACAAAGAATTCTTGGGCTGAGGTTTTAGGAATTATTTCATTAGTATGCAAATCATAAAAATTTGTTAAGCCTCTATTTTTATACAAGTTAAGAAGTTGTACTATAATTAAAAATAAAAGATGTCTGCTGTATTTTTTATAACTTGTTTGATACTCCTCAACAATTGTAAATTGGTTTCTTCTCTATCATGTTAGGTAAATTAGGCAAGTTCTCATACATTTTGAACCATCTATTATTATTGTTTATTTTCTTTTACAATTAGTGTACATATTCTCATTAACTGCCATAGGTAGCTGTGTGCATAGATAATAAAAATAATACACAGTCTTACCCTTACATTTGTAGTATTACCTGTTGCCAAAATGTCCAGTGTTCACTATGTACACAATCTGCAATTAACTTTATATTTTCCAGATAATTTCTGTACTAGTACAGACAGCCTGTATTTTTGGATAATGTATTTGTTGCGCAAATAATCACTTGTGCCAAGATTAAAATGTGCCAGTAATTTTTGGTTTCAGGCAATGTTGTGTGGATTGTTCGATGATCCGCTGACCTACTACAGTACACCATCAGGTTCCCACACAGATCATATTTCTTGCATTATTGCACTTTCCAAGCATTCTCTTCATATTGTACTATATTTGTATCTAGAAAGTAAAGAGAGCATTAAATAATAAGATAAGTGATTTATTGTGAAAAAATTTACTTTTGTAGGGCTTATTTCGCAGATGACCGAGTCACAATAACGAGGCTGAAGATATGATGACCAAACCGCACCAGAAGATGAAGAGACGACAACGTTTCGGTCCATCCTAGACCATTACCAAGTAGGCTGTGATGGTAGCGAGGGAGACACGGGCAATAAATAAGGCAAGAGTGAGATTAGGAGAAGGTAAAGAGAAGGTAATTCCTAGAAGGCAAGACTAAGGCAAAAGGTAAGACCTGGAAGAATGGCACGAATGGGATGGGTGTAAAAATGGGGTGAAGGAAGAATGGGATAGTTAAGAATGAGAAGAGAAAGAAAAGGGAGTAGGCTTATGTCAGGTCACATTTGTTAGGAAGGTTAAAGCATTCGAGTATGTACTGTGGAAGGGAAGAGTCGGCAACAACAAAGCCAGGACAGGTTGTATACTGGGTAGGTTGTATATCAGAGCCAGTTTGACAAGACGGCATCTGTGAAGAGTAGAGGCAGGAAAGATTATTTTAGAAGACCACTCAATAGGATTAGAATCCCTAACATGACTGAAGAGAACATTTCGCGTCTGCAGACTTTGACACTTCTTTTGTGTTCCTTAAGTTTATTATTTAGTGTACGGCCAGGTCCCTAAAGTATTGGAGAGGACAAGACAAACAAGAAATAGACACCAGCAGCATTAGAAGCAGGAGCAGCAGTGCGAGCCAGATTACTACGAAGAGTGTTAGTTTGTTGAAAGGAGAACTTTATGTTTAGAGGATAAAGGGTATTAGTGTGATTTTTTAGTTTAGATATGAAGGAAAGGCAGAGCACAGTGGTAAGTGTTGGAAATAGGTTTGAGATGAAAGAAATTTAATTTAGCTTGAGAATAGGTACAGTTGATAATATGTAATGGGTAGCCAAGGCAAGAAAGAGATTTGTAAATAAAGGAAATCTCAGAATCAAGAAACTGAGCGTCACTGATGCGTAGAGCATGAAAGAAGAGAAAGACGAACACTTTCCTTAACAGGAGGATGGTAGGAAGATGTATATATATACCACTATGCATGGGTTTGTGGTAAACAGGTAAAGTGGAACAGGACACAGCTGTGAACATAATGTTCATGTTCACAGCTCTATGTCCAGTTTCTCTGTCTACTGCAAACCCATGCATAATGCTATGTTCATATTTCTTTTCCTACCATCCTCCTGTTAAGAAAAGTGTTCTCATCTCTCTTCCTTCGCGCTCTGCGCATCAGTGAACCTCAGTTTCTTGATTCTGAAATTTCCTTTATTTACAATATCTCTTTCTTGCCTTGATTACCCATTACATATTATCAACTGTACCTATTCTCAAGCTAAATTAAATTTCTTTCATCTCAAACCTATTTCCAACACTATTACCACTGTGCTCTGCTTTTCCTTCATATCTAAACTAAAAAAATCACACTAATACCCTTTGTCCTCTAGACATAAAGTTCTCCTTTCAACAAACTAACACTCTTCGTAGTAATCTGGCTCGCACTGCTGCTCCTGCTTCTAATGCTGCTGGTGTCTATTTCCTGTTTGTCTTGTCCTCTCCAATACTTTAGGGACCTGGCCGTACACTAAATAATAAACTTAAGGAACACAAAAGAAGTGTCAAAGTCTGCAGATGCGAAATGTTCTCTTCAGTCATGTTAGGGATTCTAATCCTATTGAGTGGTCTTCTAAAATAATCTTTCCTGCCTCTACTCTTCACAGATGCCGTCTTGTCAAACTGGCTCTGATATACAACCTACCCAGTATACAACCTGTCCTGGCTTTGTTGTTGCCGACTCTTCCCTTCCACAGTACATACTCGAATGCTTTAACCTTCCTAACAAATGTGACCCGACATAAGCCTACTCCCTTTTCTTTCTCCTCTCATTCTTAACTATCCCATTCTTCCTTCACCCCATTTTTACACCCATCCCATTCGTGCCATTCTTCCAGGTCTTACCTTTTGTCTTACTCTTGCCTTCTCTTTACCTGCTCCTCACCTCACTCTTGCTTTACTTATTGCCAGTGTCTCCCTTGCTACCAACACAATAGGCCTGATAAATCCAGGATGGACAAAAACGTTGTCTCCATCTTCTGGCGTGTTGTTTGGTAATCTTATTTTTCCCATATACTGTACTGTAATTTAAACTTAATTTGCATGACTATGATTTTCAGAAATACTACCCCACTTGAATAGTTTTGTTCCAATCCTTGAATGTTGCATTTACTGCATGAAGTAGTGGAAGCGTTTACCTTTATGCGAGATGCTGGTGTGGTATGAAAGTCAAAATTAGAACAATAAAGGGGACTGATATTCTTGTTTAACTTTTTTGTTTGGATTGGGGGGGGGGGACAACAATCTAGGGTGGAATTTTATAATGGCAACAGCATGCGTGATAGTTAAACAAAATGCACTGATATCTTTTGAACAATGATTTACTTGACAGCAAAGAGTTACAAAAACTACACTTTCTGCACCATTCTGAGGTGCCATTTTGGTCAATGTGATAACTGTAATATTATTTTATAATTTCAGAAATAGTCCATGACTAAGCTACACAATTTAATATGCCTTTGTTCATAAAATTTGACCGCAGTTTCTACATTCACCTACGCATATCTGCATTAGATTTGTTATTGAAGTTCTGTGGGGTCATTATTTCCAAAGTATATTACTATCTTAACCAAATTATCTCCTCTCAAATATATCCACTTAGACAAAAAATATATACATACATGTTTATGTATTGGATGCCAATTGGAGAACATTGCGTGCTTGTAGTAGTAGTGGCATGTCGATCATATGGCCTCGGAAAGTGAAGGCTCCCTGTGACAAAAAATTATTAGAGTATACCAAAAAGAAGACGGATAGTAAATTATACAAGATTGCCTACATCAAACTATCATTCATAACGTAATCTGCAACTCACTGGAATAGGAAGTGGGGGGGGGGGGATGCCTCTGGCTTACAAATTGGCCATACAAGATTAACTCAAGAATATAGCACATTTCAGGGATAATTATAGAGGAAAACATTTCTGTAAAAGTACAAAGTATTGAGGCAACTATTATGCTGTTTTAACTATTACTGCGATAGACAAGTATGTTGGCAAACAATCATGTACATTATTCCTGTTCTTAACTGCAGACATTCACTGAAACATCCATCACATACCTTTCCTTCCTGTTGATGCTGTTCAAAGGCACGCACAAGACTTGCTGCCCATTCCACCTTCTCTGGCCGTGGTGAGAAGGCTTCCTGCACCACTGGTACTTGATCCGGGTGGATTACCTGCAAGTTAATAACTTAAATTATTTTATAATTCCTTACAAGTTGCTTTCCATAAAAACAAAGTAGTCTGCTAAGGAATTATTCTGAATGAGCAATTTTACATAATTCATTTAGTAGGATTTTCAAACAAATAGAATACAGTAGAAAATCAGTGTTCTATACCATAAATTCAGAGGCTACACTTTAATTTCACAATATAGTATAAAAGATTATGCATTTATCCAATGACCATGATTTAACTGGCACCAGCCACCTATATCATTTCTTGGCAAGTCTTTTAAAACGTCTGAAATTGGGCATCTTTCTGCAAATGTCAAGATCTATTAAGTCTGGCCATTGCATAGGCCATTTATGTATATATTTTGCTAAGTTGATCATCTAGTTTAATCACCTACTAAAGATGCTATTGAAACAAACATGTGGATGACTGCTGAATATAGTAAACCTCATATTTGTATAAAGTAAGTTTAACACCTTAACAATCGTGATAATACACATCTAAAGATATTAGGTAAAGAAATTTTTGAGAAGCACTAAAAAGCACCTGGATCACATCCTCTTAAGTGACATGTGAAAAGCTAACCTTGGTAAGCTTGGAGGAAAGTCTCAAGACAAATCTTTAGTATCTATCTTCACACTGCTGCCTGGCCTGATAATTTTCAACTGTAAATATGGATAAGTCAAATGACCTGCATTTGACAATGAGAAAATCACTTATCTGCCTAAACACATCATAATTTTTTTCCAGGAATTCTACCTTTGCTACAAATATTAACACGATTCCAAGTAATCATAAAAACAAACCACAAGCCCAGAAGACTATGCAGCACCATGTTACAAAATATTAAAAAGTTTAATTTTTCAGCCATGTTATTGTGACTCCTCATCTGCATTAAAAAGTTTCTAGATAACATTCAGAATATTATAAATGCTGCCGTAGAGCTCTTTATCAAGTTTGTGTTACTCCTCCACATTCTCTTCCCAATTACTTTCTCCAGAATTTTGCAAGGAATGCACGTTAGCAACATTGGTCTACTGTTCCCAACATTACCTATCCTGTCCTGAATACTGACCTTGTTCTTGCATCACTAACCTGTTTGCCTGTAAATCCCATACCAGCTCCTTCTTCACTTTGTGTTCGGAGTCCATCAAGATCTGTGAACAAGAAAATGTCAAGATATTAGGCATGCATATTTGAGAAGTACATTCTACCATTCAAAGTGAGAGAAGCTACTTTCAAGAAAAGCTCTTAATATCATCAGTTTGAAGTACATTTCACTCAAACAAGGGGAATGGATGTAACATAAAATTGATTTGGGTCCTTTGTTTTGAGAACATAATCACTGTTCACCAACATCTAAAATACAGAACAGTATAAAGATCCTTCGTTTCATAACTAGTAGATCACAAAAGATCTTTATAGTCCCAAGACAGTGAGTTGAACTGCCAGACAAAATGGGGTAATAAAACTGATAGAGGTATTAATTTAAATACTTGGAGACAGTGTTTCATAAAAATGGAAGTATGGAAGAGGGGTAATAAGAAGTAATGAATAGGAAAGTCATCAGCATGATGAATACTGTATTATAATGAAAGGATGGAATGTCTGCATATAAGTAAAGAAAGGACAGAGATAGTATACTACTCCCAGCCTTAACATGCCAAATTTGGGTACAGAAAGGGGCAGTTCTAAGGGAAACAAGTAGATTTTTTTTCATTTAGAAAAGCATGTGATATAAGTTAACTGGAATTGTTGGCCTTCCCTACCCAGAGAAAGTAAATAGCCTCCATTAACACCTTTGATATGTAAAGTAATTGCATTTGCCCAGCAAGTTTAGCAAGTGCATAAAGTGAGTAGAGTTCAAATGCCTAGAAAAATGTTTCTACATCCTAAATTTTTTTATCAATTCTCTTGGATAAGGCGCATGAAGCTACAGGTATCTGATGACGACAGAATTATCTCTTCTCATAGTAGTTCTCCTGAAATAAAAACTATCCACAATGTCCATCACAGAACCTCAATACTCAAATCACATGCCTATTTCCACTACTGTACTGTAGGTTGTACCTCACTGGGTGTACACTACAGCCAGAGAGGAAATTTATCTTCCGAGATTTCTGCAGGACTTCTTCAGGAACACTGCTTTTCAGTGTTTTTGGTTTGTCTGCACACAGTGGTGACCTGTGGGAACTCTAGTAGCAGTGCAAACATTTAGTACTATGGTGTTAATTTGTTCACTTAAATACTTGGATCTCCTTACCTTTATAATCAATATATACCAGGTCAACAGCTTGCAGTTTAAAAGCTTTTGCTACTGTAACAACATACTGCCGTGCAAAGGTTAATTCTCCTGCTTCATTTGTCCGTGTTGCACCTGTAATAAACAGAAAATGTGAACAAATTAAAATAAAGCTATTGATACAAAAATCACAAGACTTTAAAAGTTCTGTTGGATGAATTCTGTTGCTTGAAATATATTATAATTTTCTCCATCAAATATCCTTTTTAAAGAGACTCCTATTTCTCACACATTTTTATACTGTTGACAATTTCTTTCATACCTTTACATTATTGGCAACCCATCTAATGCATGCATACAAATATGCCTTTAAGTACCTAAATAAGATGCATTTCTGCTTTTAAAACTGTTAGTTATTGGAAGCCATCATCAGAGCTTTGGATTTTATATATGCACAAATGTGGTGTAAGGTAGTCCTAGATTAGGACTAATTAAGTGCCTAGGTTTCAATGTTTCTTTCACACCCATCTTATGCCAATCAGTTTTAGAACTCGTGGAGTTTTTAACCATAATATTGCCCGAGAATTAACAGTTTTGTTAATTTTGACTATTAAACAGTTTTACTTTAGACCAAGTATCACTGCAGAAATATTAGTTTCCATCTATACACACTGATGGACCACATTTAGTTGGGCTCCTACCCTTTGGCCCAAGAAGGGATTGCATAAGTCACATTCAACAACAATTCAGTTCAACATAACATGACTCTTGCCAACTCTTTTCCCTACTCCTTCCCATCCTCATCCGCGATCAAAACACAGCAGTACCCGAAGGTAATTGGGTTACAAATAATAGTGCGATTGAGAGATAAAAGCCCGAAAGATAAAAACAGAGGTATGACACAAAAATTTATATCATTTCTGATGCTATCGTACAAAGTATAAAGATGGTTGTCAAAGATACCATCTTCTCCATTCTTAAAGCTTTCTCAATGTAGGAGTAAAAGTATACAAGTACTGTACTCTACTGCATTTAGCAGTAGGGAAACTGAACATATATCTCAGCCAAGGCTATTGTGGTCATGTTTGACTCTCAGTTCTGTGCAAAGTGCTATTGCATACATAATACCTGACTGTAAACTCATGACCTGGTACCGAGGGAAAGTGTCCTCTGATCTCACACAACTCTGGGGAACTTGGTTTTAAGTTGCATGTGGACGGCTAATTTGGCCTGCACCGACAGTGATCAATTGATGTTTATTTCTAAGTGAACAAATGTGGAAGTATATATGGTATACAGGTAACTTTAATACAATGCATATTTTCTTTTGTACTACATGTGTTTAATTTTACAATACTGTACAGTATATGTTCCTCAGTTCATATGTTGCTTTGGTTGCAAAATCCACATTTAATACTTTTTCTTTCAGTTAGTGGATGTGATTTTGTTGTGTATTATTCCCAAAGTCTTAACTTGTCCGTAACATATCTTCCTAACGTCCATTTTTCTGTACAGTACAGAAGCAGACCATGAGAGTTTACCAAAGTTTATCACCTACTGTTGTCTGTAATGTGTTTCCCTATAGTCTTTTTGGTAGTCTCCCATTCCATAGCAGTCTGTATACAGCAACAGAAACACTAAAATATAATGATGAACAATTCTTTTCTTTTCCCTCATTGTCTGCCAGTTCACTACCCAGTACAAGTGCAATATTTAATGCTTAACATGTGTTCTGTACAGCCATTGCTGGGTTTTTACTACCATCTTGAGGTTATATCTTGAGATGATTTCGGGGCTTTAGTGTCCCTGTGGCCTGGTCCTTGACCAGGCCTCCACCCCCAGGAAGCAGCCCGTGACAGCTGACTAACACCCAGGTACCTATTTTACTGCTAGGTAACAGGGGCATAGGGTGAAAGAAACTCTGCCCACTGTTTCTCGCCGGCGCCCGGGATCGAACCCGGGACCACAGGATCACAAGTCCAGCGTGCTGTCCGCTCGGCCGACCATAATTGTACTTGTATTATATTTCTCCATGCACACACTCCATTCACTTCAAGAGTAAAAAATATGAAGCGTTGCAAAAAAAGTACCTTCTGTCACTATGTTAGCACATGTCCAGTGAGGTAAATTCTAACTAACCTATCATACTTGTCTATCTACCTGCTCTAAGGAGGTATACATAGCTAGAAAAGTTGTGTATTTGGGGTCATACACTATGATTAAAAGGAACTTTTAATGTGTTATACAACATTTTTCTTTTAAAATTTTGAAAATATTAAAAAAAAAAAGTTATCCTTGGTATATAAATGAAACCATTTATACTTTAAAATAAGTCTTAAGACATTTGGCAACCTTTCATCCAAGATACTGATCTTAACTATTTTCTCAATACTCCGAGGATATTTTGCCTTTATATCTCATTCTCACCAATATCAGCACAAAAATCATCTGACCCAAACACAATGCCATCAAGGTCGAAAGGAGCATCTCTGGACAGCTCAACTCCACGACGACAAATTTCTGGGAGACTGAGGAGTGATTCTGCAGATTCTGTGAAGATTATGAGACGCAGCTTTTCTGAAGAGTTGTGACCCTTCATGACAAACTTCAGCTTATCTGTAAACTGGTAATAACAATATTACTATCAGAATCACAATTACTAGAAATAAAAGCTCAAAACTTGGTACAAAGTACTGTATTTCAAGAATGAGAGACAGTACATGAGTACCAGACAACAAAAATCTGGTACAGGTACACACACATTATTGACAATGGTTGATGAAGAGCTAAGCTTACTTTACATTACACTGTACAATGCTACATTACAGAAAATATACTTGTGTATATTAAACTACATTAGGACTTGTTATATACCATACCGTGGTGAAAAAACCCAGATCCTGTGGATTTTGCAAAATTAGTATGATGTATAGTCAAACTGAATGGAGACAGTACTGTATACACTAAAAAAAATAAAAATACTGTACTTAAGTACAGACGAGTTAATTATATTGTGTACTTTAATTCACTGGCAATACAACAGCTGTTACTGTTGGTAGTACAGGAGTGAAGTCAAGACAAATAAATACTGGCATGGATCTTATATAAAATGGAAAGTGACAGGGAAATCAGCAGGGGGAGGGGAGTAAAAATATGAAAAAGCAGTACTGCATGTACATTTCTAAGACCTGGTTTCAATATAAAGACAAAATATATGCTACTGATATTTCATATGTTGCACGATATAGTGAAACTATAGGTTAAATTTAAAATATGTACAGTACCCATTCAAGGTGCGCAGGAGAATCTACTTTTGGGAGGTGTATGGTGGATGGAAGATACTTTGCCGATAGAATCTCCTGCATATCTGCTTCACACAGTCCACTTTCTACACTGTTAAAGCGAACTGAACAGTCTTTTCCAGTAAAATCTATTTCTTTAGAATGTAAAACATGATGGATCTTAGATCTTGCCGATTCCTGAAAATATTAGTAATATTAATAATAGCAACAAGTTTTTATTTATTTTTTATTTTACAGTGCACCTTAAGGAACCACTGCTGGTGTTAAGATTAAACAAAAAACTGATATTTTTAATAATATTTAATATTATTGTTTGTATTGGAAGATATTTAATGATAGGTTACCAGGAATACCTCCCTCAATAAGCTATAATATCTAGTTTTTTACCTTTTTGGATAGAGCAACTCCATCTTCACAGTCCATCACAATACAGTCTGCTCGAAGGCTGGGGATTTTGTTCAACTTCCTGTCATCATTGCCAGGAACATAGAGGACAGCTCGTCTTGGGATGTATCGCTTAGACTCTTGGGCCTGTAAAAAGGGAATTACAATTAACTAATGCATTCAGTGTTACTTGGCAACTTAAATCTGAGACATAGATTTAAAAACCATAGAATTTGGTTTTAAATACAGTATACTCAATGGCTTTCCCAAGGCCCCAACTATTTCTTGTAATGTTGCCGTCATCTTTAAACTCGGTTCCATCATCCTAAGCAAATCCACACATTTTTTGGATCAGGTGAGTAAATTCAGAATGGGAAAGTGTGTTCCAACTGGAGATTCACTTAACTGAATTTTGTTGAATCAAGGTTCCACTATAATACAAAAATCAATAGGTCTGTGGTGTCATGTCAAACATGCACTCTTTGTTTTTTTGGAGGCAAGTAAGGTTGCATTTTTGGGCCAACCCTTTTTTGTCATATACAGTACATAAAGCTGAGAATATTACAAACATTACCAAATTTGCAGAAGACACTTAAGATTTATGGTAAGGTAGCAGGTGAAAATTATATAAGAGGCCTTACAAATAACTCCATGAACTCCACAATAGGTTAAAAGACTGGCAAATGCATTTAAATGTAATAAAAATTACAGGATCTTCTATGTATGGAAAACAATACACATCACAACTAGCAAATCAACTAATGTACATTACCGTACAGCAGATTGATGAAGAAAAGTATCTGAGTCAAAATCCATTAATCTATGGCGGATCATGGGAAAATAGAATGGGGGGAGGGTCTGCATCACATTGCCAGATGTGACACCGATAAATCCTATACTATCATACAGTATGAATCATACAGTTATATTATTTTCAATAACATACAGTTAACAGTTGTATTATTTTCAATAACATAACTGTATGATACATACTGTATGCATCATAGTTATGTTATTGAAAATAATAAAAAAAAAACTTTGTATGACACACTTGTTAGTTGCTTATTATTCTAGTGTGAGGTTGGTGAAGTCATACACCTGGCAGTGAGTGTCTGGGGTGGACTGAAGCTTACCAGCTCCTATGGGCGAGCTGCCACTGCCAGCAATCACTGAAAAGTTGCACAACAACTGTGAGCTGCAGTAAAAAATAAAAACCAATCAAACCCTAGGAATAGCCAAACAAACCTTTGACTTCAAGGAAAAGAAGGTAGTTATATAACTGTATAAGTCTCTGATGTGCCCCCACTTGGATTATTGTGTCCAAGCACAGATACCTTGTCTTTAGAAAGACACTTACTTTTGAGAAAATTCAACACCGGGCGATAGAAATCATTCCAGATCGAAGTTAACTCTCATACCAGGAACAGTTCAGGGCTTCGGGGCTAACAATACTGCAAACCAGACATAAAAGGGCTGATCTCATGTAAACTTAAAATACTGAACAATTTGGAGGACATTGATCCAGACCACTTCTTTTAAAAGATCAGATCTACCAAAAATAAGGGGCAACGGTTTCAAGTTCAACAAGCCACAATGTAGGACAGAAAACAGGAGATGCTTTCACCTGTAGGGTTTTGTTAAAAACAAAACCTACCACATGCTCAAATGGACTTTGCCAAAACTTTTGATAAGGTACCACATGGAAAACTGGCAAGGAAAGTACAAGCACACTGAATAAATGGTAAAATACTAGAATGGCTAAAAAAGTGGTTAAAATGGTCTTGCGCTCAGCAAGCCACAATGCAGAACAAAAAACAGGAGATGCTTTTTCATCCATAAAGTTATAAACATTTGGAAGCACCTACCTGCTGAAGCTGTAAATGCCAAAGCACTGCTGATTTCAAAATCCAGCTTGATAAAATCATCAGGACAAAGGGGAAATCTTTAACAAGCTGCTGGCTTCCTATGTTCGTCAAGGTCTCTAAAGATATAGTAGCCCTCAGGTAAATTCTGGTAAATGCTAAAACTGCTGCAGTTTTAAATCCAGCTGGATAAAATCAGGAAAATGGGGTGAACCTTTGACAAGGTGCCAGCTTCCTGTCTTAATCAAGGCCACTAGAGAAATAGTGGCCTTCAAGAAAATTCATCGAAATTCGGTATGGGCATAGTCTCTTGAACAAAACACGCCGGTATAGGGTATACCGGCGTGTCCCCGTGACACAGTGGTAAAGCACTCGCCCAGCTCTGGCTTGGGTTCATATCACAGCCGGAGAGGATTGACTGGGTGCCAATCCATAACTGTAGCCTCTGTTCACCAAGTAGTGAATAAGTACCTGCTTGTTAAACTATTTGGCGGGTCGTACGCCGTGGGGAAAAAATTAGGATTAAGGACCTGCCTGAAACGCTATACGTGCCAGTGGCTTTACAAGAATGTAAAAACTCTTGTATATATAAATATAAAAAAAAATACATGACACTCCTTACATTACCAGACTGTTGGAAGTTGTTGACAAATTGACAACGTCAGCAGCTCTTCTCAGTCGCATATGTTTATTATTCCGTAAAATTGTTAACATCCTCTGAAGGAACATGTTGACACAGTAAATTGCTAACTTAAGAATACCACCGAGGCTGAGGTGGAAGTGTTGACGTCGCTTACAGTGAGGATCCGCACTTGTGAATGACCGGTCAAACTGTACACTGGCGTTTCGCCAGTTTTTTATTATTTGTAATTTTGTAACTAGCTCATCAAGATTGTAACTTGCTTAGCTAAATGAATTGTGGGGTTCAGTCCCTGAGCCCATCATGTGTCTCTGTAACCCTTTCCACTACCGCCCACAAGATGGGTATTGGGTGTATAATAAATGAACTAAACTAAAAACTTGTATTTTATTTATTTTAAAGCTTGTTTATACCTAAGCTTGTTTATTAATAAGCTTAGGTATACACAGCAATGTACTGCTACCCTATTATATATGAAAGATTATACAGTGTAGCTCAAAAACTAGATATAAGTTCATCTAATACCCCCATCTCACAGGATGGTTAGTCATACATACTACCCGAAACGCTATGCATGTTTGTGGCTTAACAAGCATGTAAAAACATCAATGCTATGTACTCTCATAAACCCAATGTACCTTCTTGTAAATATATAAATAAAATAAATTCATGGAATCAGGAGAGAACATGAAATGTAAGGCTGATCTGTTAGCCTCCACTAGCAAAATCTGGGTACAACACAAGGATATCTTCCAATATTTCTGAATATATGAAGTTTTTTATTTATTTATATTTATTTATATATATACAAGAGTTCTCACATTCTTGTACAATCACAAGCACGCATAGCGTTTCGGGCAAGTCCTTAATCCTAATTTTCGCAAACATCCCCATGCAGGAAGCAGACCTATTTACTGCTAGGTGAACAGGCGCATCAGGGGTGAAAGAAACTGCCCATTTATTCCCGCATTTCTTGTAAAGTAATTACAGAGCTCAAAGTACCTCATATCATTTGGTCTGAAATCACTGATAACAGAGCAATCACAGATATAGTTCTCACCTAGTTGTGCTTGAAGGGGTTTAGGTTTGGCTCTTTGGTCCAGCCTCTCAATCATCAATCAACTGGTGTACAGATTCCTGAACCTACTGGGCTCTGTCATAGCTACATTTGAAACTGTGTATGGAGTCAGCCTCCACCACATCACTTCCTAATGCATTCCATTTACTAACTATGACACTGAAAAAGTTCTTTATAACGTTTCTGTGGCTCATTTGGATACTCAGCTTCCACCTGTGTCTCCTTGTGCGTGTACCACCCGTGTTAAATGATCCATCCTTGTCTACCCTGTCAATTCCCCTGAGAATCTTGTATGTGGTGATCATGTCTCCCCGAGCTCTTCTGTCTTCCAGCGACGTGAGGTGCAGTTCCCTCAGTCTTTCTTCGTAACTCATGCCTCTTAGTTCTGGGACTAGCCTAGTGGCATATCTCTAAACGTTTTCCAATTTCGTCTTGTGCTTTACAAGGTACGGACTCCATGCTGGGGCCGCATACTCCAGGATTGGCCTTACATACGTGGTATACAAGGTTCTGAAAGATTCCTTACACAAGTTTCTGAAGGCAGTTCTGATGTTAGTCAGCCTCGCATACGCCGCCGATGTTATTCTTTTGATGTGTGCTTCATGAGACAGGTTTGGCGTGATATCAACTCCTAGATCTTTCTCTCTGTTCGTTTCGTGAAGAACTTTATCTCCCATTCTGTATCCAGTGTCTGGCCTCCTATTTCCTCCCCCTAGTTTCATTACCTTACATTTACTTGGGTTGAACTTTAGTAGCCATTTGTTGGACCATTCATTCAGTTTGTTTAAGTCATCTTGTAGCCTCATGCTATAATATCTTCCTCCGTTTTAGTGTTGGAGAGTACGTCCTAGCTCTTGTTCACATAGCTTACAATTGGGATGTTTATTGGGGGATTTATTACCTGCAGCCACCTGCCATAGATATCGATATCCCAGCCTAATTCTGGCAATTTCAACGTCACACTGTCTGGCGGATGTTTTATGCTGCCCGTACATATAATTCTCAGTTCTAAGGATGTCAAAGCTCTTTATACTCGTGCTTTCCGGCCTTTGAGTGTCAGAAACTGCGTTTCGCCAAAACCTTTTAATTGTTAAACCCGGATTTATTGTTAGAGTTGGCTGAGCAAGCTTATATTTGGATGGATTTGGTTTAGTTAGGTTGGGTTTTAGTTGGATTGGGTTATATTAAGTTAATGCATGTCATTCATTCATAATTCATAATTAAGTTAATTAAGTCTATTCCTGTCATACCTGTCACCAGACATGTCAGGGCGGATCTCATTGAAACTTTTAAAATACTGAACAATTTGGAGGATGATCTTCAAAAGGTCAGATGTAACACAAGCAAGGAACAACGGTTTCTAGCTCAACAAGCCACAATGTAGGACTGAGAACAGAAGATGCTTTTTCACCCACAGGGTTATTAACCCAGGGAACCGCCTACCCGCCCAAGCCGTAAATGCCAAAGCTCTGCTTACGTTTAAAGTACAGCTGGAAAAGTTCAAGGCAAATGAGGGGACCTTCGACAAGCCGCCGACTTCCTGTCCTCGTCGAGGCCACTCGTGTTAGTGGCTCTCAGGTAAGTTATGTCGGGTTAGGTTAGATAGGTTTTAAGATCAGCAGGCGACCTGTCTTGGATACAAAGCAACGTATATCTCTTATGAATCATAGAAATAAGGAGCCCTAACACTGTATCGTGTACCCGGTAATCTACTGCTATATAATGCGAATTACGTCACTATAGGCAGCTAGCTGTCACGTGGACTATAGGCAGCTGTCACGTGGACTATAGGCAACTGTCACGTGGACTATAGACAGCTGTCACGTGGACTATAGACAGCTGTCATGTGGACTATAGGCAGCTGTCACGTGGACTATAGGCAGCTGTCACGTGGACTATAGGCAGCTGTCACGTGGACTATAGGCAGCTGTCACGTGGACTATAGGCAGCTGTCACGTGGACTATAGGCAGCTGTCATGTGGACTATGGGCAGCTGTCACGTGGACTATAGGCAGCTGTCACGTGGACTATAGGCAGCTGTCACGTGGACTATAGGCAGCTGTCACGTGGACTATAGGCAGCTGTCACGTGGACTATAGGCAGCTGTCACGTGGACTATAGGCAGCTGTTATGTGGACTATAGGCAGCTGTCACGTGGACTATAGGCAGCTGTCACGTGGACTATAGGCAGCTGTCACGTGGACTATTGGCAGCTGTCACGTGGACTATAGGCAGCTGTCACGTGGACTATAGGCAGCTGTCACGTGGACTATAGGCAGCTGTCATGTGGACTATAGACAGCTGTCACGTGGACTATAGGCAGCTGTCACGTGGACTATAGGCAGCTGTCACGTGGACTATAGGCAGCTGTCATGTGGACTATAGGCAGCTGTCACGTGGACTATAGGCAGCTGTCACGTGGACTATAGGCAGCTGTCATGTGGACTATAGGCAGCTGTCACGTGGACTATAGGCAGCTGTCACGTGGACTATAGGCAGCTGTCACGTGGACTATAGGCAGCTGTCACGTGGACTATAGGCAGCTGTCACGTGGACTATAGGCAGCTGTCACGTGGACTATAGGCAGCTGTCACGTGGACTATAGGCAGCTGTCACGTGGACTATAGGCAGCTGTCACGTGGACTATAGGCAGCTGTCACGTGGACTATAGGCAGCTGTCAGTGGACTATAGGCAGCTGTCACGTGGACTATAGGCTGTCACGTGGACTGTGTCACGTGGACTATAGGCAGCTGTCACGTGGACTATAGGCAGCTGTCACGTGGACTATAGGCAGCTGTCACGTGGACTATAGGCAGCTGTCATGTGGACTATAGGCAGCTGTCACGTGGACTATAGGCAGCTGTCACGTGGACTATAGGCAGCTGTCACGTGGACTATAGGCAGCTGTCACGTGGACTATAGGCAGCTGTCACGTGGACTATAGGCAGCTGTCACGTGGACTATAGGCAGCTGTCATGTGGACTATAGGCAGCTGTCACGTGAACTATAGGCAGCTGTCACGTGGACTATAGGCAGCTGTCACGTGGACTATAGACAGCTGTCACGTGGACTATAGGCAGCTGTCACGTGGACTATAGGCAGCTGTCATGTGGACTATAGGCAGCTGTCACGTGGACTATAGGCAGCTGTCACGTGGACTATAGACAGCTGTCACGTGGACTATAGGCAGCTGTCACGTGGACTATAGGCAGCTGTCATGTGGACTATAGGCAGCTGTCACGTGGACTATAGGCAGCTGTCACGTGGACTATAGGCAGCTGTCACGTGGACTATAGACAGCTGTTACGTGGACTATAGGCAGCTGTCACGTGGACTATAGGCAGCTGTCACGTGGACTATAGACAGCTGTCACGTGGACTATAGGCAGCTGTCACGTGGACTATAGGCAGCTGTCACGTGGACTATAGACAGCTGTCACGTGGACTATAGACAGCTGTCACGTGGACTATAGGCAGCTGTCACGTGGACTATAGGCAGCTGTCACGTGGACTATAGACAGCTGTCACGTGGACTATAGGCAGCTGTCACGTGGACTATAGGCAGCTGTCACGTGGACTATAGGCAGCTGTCACGTGGACTAGACAGCTGTCATGTGGACTAGCAATTTCACTGCATAATACCAAAAACTATAACCAACCTGAAACTTGTTTTCCTCCTTTACTGCCCAGTTGCTTGTT